CATATTATTCTTTGGTTCAAATTATACATGACAATGAATACCAAATTTTAATTTTTCCAAACTACCTAAATATGTAAAAAAAAATGGGAGGATTTGAACTGGAATAGTAGTTTGTGCAACAAGAGTGGCTATGGACAATCCACTCGAGTTGTACAGTATATTTTTTCTACGACTCACTAACGAAAATCTACAAAATACAAAAAAATATTTTAGGTTATTAAGACAAAATAACTAATTTTAAAATAATTTATGAATTTTACTGATTTTTAAAATAAAATAGGTAAATATAAAAAAAAATTAGTCGCCAGCTGAGAATCGATCCCTGGCTTTTCGCGTGGAAGGCAAGCACTTTTTGTTTTAATACTTCTAATTAAAATAGTTTAATATAGTTTGATTAAAATTTAATTTTTTTTTTTCAAAGTATGGTTCAAATAAAAATAAAAATGCTATTATTTATGATTATTTATCGATTCTACACAAAAATAACTCATTTTAATATATATTTAATCTCAATAATTAAAAAATATACTGACATTTAGTTTGACAGGACCGTCATTTATTTAAAATTTTGAAAATAATAGTATTTATAAAAGATATTTTAATTGATTTAAAAATAAATCCTTCAGATAAAAAATACTTTTCTAATACGCATTTTTGACCGAAATCTCATTTTCTCTTAAAGTGTCATCTATTGAGGGCTATTTCGCCATTCGATAGCGAATTTTATCAATTTTGACAATATACACCATGCACCACTCATTTTTCAGTTCAGAGACTTCTAACTCAAAAAATTTAAACATAAATTTGTTTGGTAATAATTAAAATTTGACAAGACTGTCATATGTAATTTGAACCCTAGATAAGCTAGTTCAGTGATGATGTAATTATGGTTCCACTGACAATTAAAGTGACAATAGATTTATTGAGTGCGTTTTGTTCATTTGGTTTACCTAAATTATATCGTTTTTTCACTTTTATAAATATATTTCCTAAAGTAAGTAGATAACATGCATCAAATATACAATCGTTTAGTTACCAATTACATACCTTTAAACTATTTTTTATGACCTGCAACCAATATTAAGAAATAAACAAAAAGCAGTAAAAATGTATATGTTAAATTTATTGATGTTTTTGTTATAAGTTTGCTTAGAATTAAATGTCAGTGGAACCAAAATGGCATCACACCGAACTAGCATATTGCAAAAACAAACTACGGGATGTCCCAAATTTTTAGTACATAGAGCTAATGTACTTTGGTGAGATCAAAATAAGTCGATTGAGCCAAAATGAACTATTTCATAAAGTACTTCCTTTGCCTGTGCGGAGGTTTCAGAGTTAAAAGATTTATTATTCAAAAAAAAGCTTCATTACATTCTTGTAAAATTTGGAATGTAGAAATTTTAATTGAAGAGCAATTGTTTAAAGCAAAAATTGAATCAACTGAAATCATGGAAGGGTAAAAACTGCCCTAATGCTACCTTAAATGTCATCGTATTTTTTTAGGTCATCACCCGCCCCCTCATTTTTATTATGGAAAGCTACATTCATTAGTAGATCTTTTTGTCTCTTGCAAAAAACACTTCTCATGATATTTGAGTATTTTTTTGAAAAATAACAATTATTCAAAGAGATGGTTAGTGATTATAAATTTTCAAAAAAATTAAGTTGGCGTTTGTCAACGTTACTAATAAAACAATAAGAAGATAGCCATTCAAGCAGTTCCCCCTAAATTTCCATACTCTGCATCTTATTAATTAAAACTTTATGGTTAACCCTATCGAAGGCTTTTTTAAAATCTGTATACACAGCATGTACTTGATAACCGTCCTCTAGGGATTCCAAGAGATAGTGAGTAAATGTTAAAAGGTTAAGCTCTGCTGAACGATGAGAAATAAATGTGAAGTTATTTCAAACATTTTTGTGGGTGGTATTTACATATCTAATGAACAAACTTGAATATTGCTAGAGCTTGGTTTCTGCAATGGAAGTTGTCGTGATAGTGTTCAGGTGTACCATGAAAGATTTCCAAATCGAGAGATTCCGAATCACCAGATTTTGGCTTTTGTTTGAGAGGCGACTTCAAGAAACTGAAACCGAACAAATAATTCTGGACGACCTCGTCAAGCCAAAACTCCTCCTACAGAAAAGAAAATACTGGAAATAGTTGAAAATAATCCCGGAATTAGTACCTGACGACTGGCACGCCAAACTAGGGTTTCAAAAAGTACTTCGAAAAGAATAATTAGAGAATAGCTTATTTAGCCCTTTCACATTCAAAATATCCAGGAATTCCTACCTCCTGATTATGAATCTCATTTGCATTTTGTACATTCAAGAGCGCAGACCAGTTTACAGTCATGCTTTACACGAAGTGGTATAATAAATGCACATAACGAATATGTTTACATAGATGAAAATCCACATGCCATTAAAGAGAAACATTTTCAAAGAGAGATAAAGATTGACACCTACTTGATTGGTCCATTTATATTTCAGATTGTCTTAATGGTTACTTGCATTTTCTACGTCAATATTTGTCTCAACTGTTAAAATACCGCCCAATTTACGCCAGTGATATGTTTCTAATGCATTGTGAGATATTTAATGAACAATACCCTGAAGGTTGGATTGGCAGAGGTCAGGATTCTCCTATTCAGTTTCCACATCGATCACTGGGTATAATCCTTGTGATTGTGATTATTTTATCTGGGGTTACTTGGAAACCAAAGTTTATGAAGTCCCTATAGAAAAACATTGAACAATATTGTGAGATAGGATTCGAAATGCTGTGAACTCTATGGCAAAATGATCTAGGAATTTAGAAAAGGGTATACTCCACTTTCTTGAGTATATGTATAAAAAAAATATCCTTTTGTTTAAATTGTTATTTTTCTTTAAATGGATTGCGTTAGTTATAACTCCCAACTTAGTTTTCTTGAAAATTTTAGAGCCACTAGCCATCAGTCAATGAAACAATTTTTATTCAAATACCATAAGAGATACATGTTTTTTGCAACAGATTAAAAGATACTAATGAAAGCAGTTTTCCATAAAAAAAAATGAGAGGACCGGCGCGGCCCTCAAAAAAGTACAGTAACATTTTAATTCAAATAGCCTATTTATGCAACCAGTTATGAAATGCCTTATTTTATGTAATGAGTGAATATTTGCGGGACGAGCAGAGCGAGGCCCCGCAGCATGAGTTACATAAAACGGCATTTCGTAATGTGTTACAAACAATATTTTTTCTAATTTTGACTAGATTATTTATAAAATTGTGTTTTGATAAAATATTACTGACATCTAGGAATCAGTATTACATTCTTGTATTTTTAGTTGCATATTCATCATTTTATTGTCAAATAGAACATCATATTAATTATTTATTCTCAATGACTTGTAGTGTGTTTATATTGCTTATTAAAAGTTATTTAGTTTTCAAAAAGTGGGTTATTTTGCATGTAAAACAATATTATTACTAAGTTGTAAGTTTAACCACATTCTATTTTTATATATCAACCTGCTTTTCTTTGATATAAACTTTCAATAATAATATATTTTTCATACTCAGTTTCATAATGTTCAACATTATGCAACAGATTGCTTAAAGTAGCAGTTTGACACTGGCTGCGATTTGTCACTTTATATGTTAAAATTAGAAAAAATACTTTAATATCTAGTAGGTTTGTCCCAATTTGATCCAAATCGCTTGGTTAAATAAAATAGATATTAACGTGGCCTTGGTCTCATTGTCACCCACCATGTATAATTTACAACAATTTTTTATGCTTTTAACTGTCTTCTCAAATTTGAATTCAGACCCAGGCTCAAAATAACAATGTTGAAAAACAAATAGCTAGTTAAAAATAAAAATGTGTACTATTATGAAATCTACATTTATATTTTAAAAGTGAAAACAACTTTTTTATTTGGAAGATGAAAAGGTTTTTGCCATATCTTCAATTTAATTATATTGTATTAAATCAAATTACTTATTTGAATTGCATAATGAATCTACAAATTGGAAATATTTTTAAATAGCTCCAGTTGCATAGACAAACTTTGCCAAGCTAAAATTAATTGACCTCATTTATTTGTAATTAATGTAACAAGTGTTAATGATAAACATAAAAATAATGTGGACGTACCCAGATATCTCAATGTAAGGTTACTGTAATGTAAATCAGGATAATGTACCAAAAATATTTATTTTTACAAATAGAATAGTCATAGGTACACCTAATTTATTTAAAGAAATATGAATTCTTAAATTGCAACAATATTAAACACATATTTTTAATTAAGCATTAAATACTAATCTTTAACATTTCAATTTAATTAAATATGATTACCTATCTTGAAAGGACTGTTGTAAAAAATGTGCTCTTTTAATTAAAAATCATAAAAAAATGCTGATTTTGTTTTTTAGGTTTTTTGATATACAAATTTTTTATTCTAGATATATAAAGTCATCATCAGTTTTTTTTAATGACAACACCTTTCTGGTGTTCCGTCCATTTTGCCAAACCCTGTATGTACGTATGTAAATAAAAGTTGCTTTATTTTTCCAATTTTGTAATTTGAAATATTTTTTTGGAATAAATAAATAAACAAAATTATATCATATATATTAAAAGCTGATTAACTATTATAATTAGTTTATGGTAGTATTATAACCTAAATTTCAAATTATTTGTGGCCTCTGCATCTAATATTACAAGCATATCAGATAACACTTCCTATTCTGATATCAATTTAAATTTTTAACCAAAATACTGATAAAACAATTGACACACTTTCTTATTGAGACTTACTCAAAAATGGTTTGAACATCTTATGTTTCTTAAATAAACTTTATTTATTTCCTTTATGTTTTTTTAAGAAGTTGAATTTAGAAGAACATTCCATATTATATATGTGCTCAACATTAAATTTTCACATTGAAAAAGAACTCAGCTGTAGCAAAAAAGTATCTCATTATCTGTTTAATTTTTAAGAAATAGAAATTGAAGAAAGAAATAAAGAGAGAAAAGACAGCTTTGATGAAATCATAAATCCCAAACAAACCAGAGCGATTGACATTACTGGTACATCTTATGAATCTAGTGGAGACGAACTAAGTTGCAGCAGCTTCAGTCCGTCCAAAAATAAAGGTATACTGAAAAGAATCTCGTCTGGTAGATTTTCCGTGGGCCGCAGCATATCCGAGTCCAGTTTAGATAATTTTGTGTATTCTTCTGTAGAGAATTGCTACACCAGTTTGGATTCAATTATACCTGAAGATGGCGAAGTGTCGTCTAGTGAGAAGAAGACTGTGAGGTTCAATGATGTCGTCATGAGCCAATTATTTAGGTAAGAATTATTTTAACATACCCCCTAATTCACAAACGATTTTTAAATATGTGTGTAAGTTACATATACAGATAAATTTTAAATAATCCTGTATAACTGATAGAATACCTTCCAAAGGACAATTAAATTCATTTTTTAGAATAAAATATATTATTTTTTAGGAAAGATAAAGAAATTATACCCTTAGGACAATCAGAAGAGTTATGAATGTTTCCTTTTATTTTAAATCGTTTTTTTTTACACAATATTTTGTAATACATTTAAATTAATAAATATATAACAATACATATTTGATAAATATTTTATACACATGCCATAAATATATCGACAGCATATGTTTTTTGTTGTGATAAAAAAATATAATCATGCAAGTGTTATCTATAAAATATTTAATTAGTGTAGGAGGAATCGACGCATATGTAAAAAAACTATTTCGACGCATTTTTTTATTCAGAATCGTTTAAAACGAAATTATTTAAAATATTCTTAAAAAATATTATTTTAAAACGGGATCATTTTTTTTCAGATTTTTTATTTTAATTCAACTACCAATAAAAAAGTTCTTATAAATGGTTTTGATAAAGTTAATATTTTAGAAGATACGAATTTTTAAGATAAAAAAATCACGATTTTGACGAATTTTAACGGCTTATAAATTTATAAAAATATTTTTTTTTATATTCTTTATAATTTAGTTAACAAACTGTAGTGACAAATATAAAAATGTTCGTCATTAAAGATTCTATTTCAGTTATAAGTAAACTCTTGATGTATCGTCTACTCACGCACTGCTGCGGCCTCTCCGCGGATATGTGATGAATAATTTACAACTAACACTACTTGTTTTTTTTTTACCTAAAGATGAAAAACCGGCTCTTAGTTTGAATAACAAAACGTACCATTCTCTAAGGGTAATTTTTTTACTCTTGTACTTTATTTTTTGAAATAATAAAAATCAGACACTTCTGTCAATCGGAATTGTGTTGAACAACACCCCCTTGATGAAGAAGGTAAATTAGCAATCACTGCTTTAAGAAATAAAGAGCGATTGACAAAAAATGTTACTAAAGTAGGCCATGACCGACAAAGACAGAGTCATGTATGTGATAACTATGCGCGACTTTGAATTAAATAATGATGCCGATAACACCAAATAAAAAAAAAAAAATAATAATAATAATAATAATAATACTCTCCTTATAACAGGTTAGGCTTAATTGACACTTAAAAAGAAGAAGAATTTTACTCTCAGAATACTGCACATGTACAAAGAGGTGTATTCTTTAATCCAACACCCCATTTTTCCTGTTATTCGTCAATTTCGCATTACTCATGAGCAAAAAAAGCGCGGGAATATTGAATCTATTTTACAAACAACATAATGGACCTTTCCCGTTATTGATGATCTCTATTACTCGTGCGCAAAATCTACTTTTGCTTAAAATTATGAAAATTTATTGTTCTTATGTTTCCTACCCTTAGTTCCAATTATTATACATCCGCAAATGTAATGTTGAGTTTGATAGTAATGGTAGGGGAGCCAGTAACACTTTTAGGTGTGTTAATTGTGAAAGGTTAAATTTTATTACAAATATATCGTTCATTCTTACCTTGTATAACATGGAAATAGTTTGCTACGCAGCGATGGAGCCCTCTACTATGACGTTTTAAAAAAGCCTGTGTAGAAAATGCTGTCATAAAAGCACAAACTTGAAACTTTCAAGTATTTATATCAAAAGTGAGTAGAAAAAAGTTTCTTGAAGTTCGGCTCACACTAGGTGCCTTCTTGCTTGCCGACAGGGCATTTCACCGCTAGATTGATTGCAACAATGTATTTTCATCTTCTACAGGGTAAGAATTAACGATGCATTTATAATTTAGCCTTATACAAATGTGTACTAAAAAAGTTTCACTGGCTCCCTACTATATAGAATCGATGACAGTTGTTTAAAGTACCTTTATCTACAACTGTCATTATATGGATGTATTATATGCGTATCTAAGGCAACATAAAGCAATCCATATATTACTAGTGAGAATATATTCATATTACACGATTTTTGTCAATTATACCCCACTAGAATTAAAAGTCATTAGATCTAGTATGCGTTTCACAAGTTAGTTGACAGCATGTTGACAGTTATTTGTTGTTCCCGATTCTTTTTTGAAATTAAACTTAAAATATTAAGCCCGTTTTAAGTGTTTATCAATTAAAAAAATGGAAGACGATGATTACATGGAACTAACACCTCCTGAAATCCGCGACGCTGCTAAAGTGGCGTCGTTGGAATTATTACCTGAAATATTGAGGAAAAATTATGAGATTGCATACAACAAATTTATGTCGTGGAAACAAACAAAAAATGTATCCTCTTTTTCCGAAGACACTGTGCTTGTATATTTTATGGAAATTTCTAGTAAATACAAATCGTCTACTTTATGGACAAACTATTCCATGCTAAAAGCATGTTAAACATCAAGCACAATGTCGACATTGATAAATATCCGAGATTACGTGCTTTGTTGAAAAGGCGATCCGAAAATTACGAACCTAAGAAATATAAAGCTCTGACTGGTGAACAAATTGAGAGGTTTATAAAGGTAGCCCCAGATTTTAAATATCTTGGAACAAAGGTAAAAACTCGAATCGAAAATCAAAATTCTTTAACTTAATCTACACATTTTTTTAAGGTTGCCTTGATTATGGGGGTCATGGGTGCTTGCCGATCCTGTAAATTAAAGAATATGAAAATTGGGGATTTAAGATGTTTTGAGGGATGTTTTCAAGTAAACGTGCCACACACAAAAACTAAAGTCCCAAGGAATTTCACAATTGTGGATAATTTTTTCAAAATCGTTAAAAAATATATAGACCTCCGGCCCGAAAATGCACCACAAGATTTTTTCTCAATTTCCAAAAAGGAAAGTGTACAAAACAAGTGATAGGAATAAACAAGTTTAGCACAATGGGAAAGCAAATTGCTACATTTTTACAATTATCAAACCCTGAGAGATATACTGGGCATTGCCTCAGGCGTTCATCTGCAACATTGGTTGCTGATTCTGGAGCTTCAATGACAACAGTAAAACGTCATGGAGGCTGGAAATCTGCCTCCGCAGCAGAAGGGTACATCGCCAATTCAAAAAAGAACAAAATAGAAACAGCTCAAACAATTTTAAGTCAAATCAATAATGAAAATTGTGTTGGTCTTAATAATCCATCATCTTCTGACAGTGATCGTCATGATTCTGTACTCATCAATAGCAACACTAATTTTTCTTTAAAAAACAATCTCAATGATATTACCGGAGCTATTAATATTTCAAATTGTAATGTTACTATTAATTTCATCAATAAATAACTTCCTGTTCCTGTATAAATTGGCGTTTTATTTCACACGGTGGCTTAAATACTCCTCATTTGAAAGTTCTTTTAATTGTGAACAATCTTGTCAATTCTATTTATAACAACTTCAAAGATTTTTTTCTAAAAATCCCCTTTTTGTTTTCATTAATAGATAAAGTATAGTATTCAATTCGTGTATAATGGACCATACTACACTCGAATATTTACAACACTCGTGTAATATGGTCAACATTATACACTTATTGAATAATATACTATTATTTTTGACAAACCTCGTATACGATTGATAAAATTTGATATTCGATGGTTGGTATTTTAGGTTTTAGACCATGCTGGACTTTTTATGAATAATAACTTTTTTCTTAAGTACCATAAATAGCTATTATCTCTTCTACAGCAGTTTCTTATTTAAACTCCTATGTTTTAGGTAACTTGTATCTAATCAATCGCGTTCAACCGTTCAAAGTGGTTAACTTCATTCATCAATCATATCCATCGGCTTTTAGAGCTGATGGATGCGTTGGTTCATTGGTGAACTCATCGCTTAAAAAAAAAAACGTTTTACACATACAATCGTCTTTCTATCGCTTAATGTAACAATTTGCTGCAAGTCAAAACGAAAATTACACAATGAATTATTTTACCGAATTTATATGCACTAGGAAAAGAATGGTCCAATATAATTGTTGTATATTTCGAGGCTAAGCCTTTGAAAACCGTGACCTTTTTGATACTCAGAAAGGAGTGAATTATTTTAAGTTACGATGCTTTTGGTTTTCAATTGTTTGAATTGATACACTTTTCATGTTTGATTTTCATTTCGAATTGTATACACTTTAAAGTTATAATACATTTCGTGATTACAACAATTTGAAATTCTACCTTCTTTCTGGTAAATAAATTAATAAAAGTAACTAAACTAATTTAGTTCTCGACGTTAGACCTGTTCCAAAATGACGAGCATTTTTTAACATGCTTCTGTTCTCTCTAAATGATCCACCCCCGTATAAGTAATGTAAAATAACCCTGTACTATACAGGCTTGTGAACTATTAACAAGAATACTATATTTAATTATTCATCTCTAGTTTAGCATTACCTGCGCTGCAACCAGCCCGACCCTGGTAAATGCTGCTTAACCTATTTCTGAGGGTTACGTCTATAGTAACAAATTATGTGCAAATCAGCGTAACACTTGGGCGATATTGGCTCCGTGCGCGACAGCAGCGCCAATTCGTTTTGGTACTAATGGACTATTTCTTCGTATACTGACAAATACAATTTTTAATAGAATTCGTAATTAAAAATTATATAATGTTGGTTTTAATAAAAGTATATGGATTTGTAAAACAAGTGAAACATTAATTTATTATTATATATTTTTATCGCTTAAATTAAAGAAAATTATGTATAATTAGTAAAAATCAATAATAAAATATAGGCAGGCAACAGTATTTACTGGAAAATGTATGAGAAGTCTAATAAGTTGTTATTGAAGAATTAGCCTATTCTGTCAAAATAAAAAATACCATTTAATAATAGCCTGAAGTTAAAATGTATAAAAAAAGGATCCTTATTTATATTTTCATTTTTGTTCGAAAGAAAACATAGAATGAATGATTAAAACTGGTTTCCCTTCAGTAAGTCACAAAATTGCATTCTAGCCACATATAATTATTAAAGGCAGAAATCTTGAAATCTAGTCCTTGCTGAATGCACATTTAAGAACATCGTAAAATGATAATTTATTGTTTATTTAAAACCTTTCAAGTTTCTGGTGTCTACTATTTCCAGCATTACTGTTATTATTACAAAAATAAAGGTAATGTTTCTTCTTATTGTACACCTATCCATTTATTTCTTTGAATTAAATTCCACTTTGCTACTGACATTTTTTATATAAGTTTCACTGATTTTTTTGCTAGTATTTGTACAATTTTCAACACAGCAACTCCGGTTGCTTATCGTAGTGTTTTTACCTACTTTTTTGAAAAAAAGTAAAATGTATACGTATATTTGATATGCCAAAATTACAAAATATCGCCCTAAAATGCACGAATTTTCCGCAGCTAGCGCTAGTATCGCTTTTGCTTTCCTTTCCATGACTTCGCACGGAGCGAATAGCTATCTCACTTTGTGGAAAATACCCTGCTAAAATAATTCTCCCTTCCTAGAAATGGTTGGAAATTATTTTCAAGCTCGCTAAATTTTTTAAAAAATGCAAAATTATGTCAAAAATAAAAATCCTAATATGTGCGTAATTTTAATCAATTTAGTGCCGAAGAGAATTTTGAAAATAATTTTCACTACTTGACCAATTTTTCCATTTATTTTTTTTTAATTCTACGGTGTATAGTTTCTGAGACTCAGGCTACAACCGTCGACAGTCAGTGTCCTTTCTTATTTGAACACTCGGTACATACAAAGAAAAATAGCCTAATCTATCAAAAATTACATAACACAAAATGTATTTAAATCATGTTTCAACAATGACACATCTCGAAATAAGCAACAGGTTATTTATCTTCAATCAGCAAAAACTACAAGATTCTTTGCTTAATTGATAATGTGTCTCTCTTGCCGAATCAGTGAGAGCAGAATCTACAACATGAAGAGCGACTCAAGTGCACTCGTGACGAGCGGCATTTGAAGCTAAGTTAATATACATTTGTTGTTTGATATAACAAGTCTTACTATGGGCATAGTGATTACACAAAAATAGTTTTTGACTTGTGTCAGTTTAGAAATAAGTACATGTGCGATACGTGGACTTTTCCAAGGCCTACTTTAGAAACATTTTTTGTGGATTACTCCTACATTGATCCTTTCATAACCAAGCCTCGTGTTATTTTAATCAGATTAAAATCTGTCTGATCTTCTGTTTTCTTTTGTAGATCGAATTCTAGCATTTTAGGCCAGAAAAAGAAAAACCAACGGAAAGCAAGAAACAAAAAACGCGCTTCGGAACGTCGTCATAGCGAAAGTGAAGCTTCGGGCGATGAGAAAAGAGAGGGAGATATAAAGGACTGCGATTTTAAGATGGACGAACGATTTGACAAAAAGGATGAGAATATTTTCCATCTGGAAGTTGACAATTAAAGTTGTGGTTCGATGTAATTCAGAGACGTGTAGTCAGAAGTATCCCAGTTAATTATAAAACCGGTTTTAAAAATTATAAATCATATTTGTTGTAATTGAATGTTTTTATTCAGGTTCTAGCGGGGTTTTTCCCGGATCTTGTTTCAAGATGTTTAATTTTTTAATCGTTATATTTTTTAATTTTATCCATTGTTTTCTTTTTTAAATATTTTTTTTTTAATCTACGCTGGCGTAAAAAGCAAAAAAGTAAAAGGGTGTTTATTTCATGACTTTTAAAATTATTTATTTCATCATGTTTTCTGTTGTGGATCCCAAAATCTTAATAATGGCTATACAAGGAGTACCAATAAAAACTCCCAGGTCGGATATTTTGGTAAGAATATTTTTATTCCGTAAAAGCCAGTTTACAGGGCATTAAGAGAGCTTCAGTTTTAGATATAAATTAATTTTAAATAGGCCAATAATTTTTTTTCGATGAGAGGATCTTTCTTATGTAGCGCATCATTTTGTTCTATGAACTAATTCGATAAATCTAGTCATTTTTGATATACCGAGTGGGCCACTCAAAACTGGTTCACCCTGTTATTTGGCATTGTTCATTGGAATTTAAGAACATTCTAAAACAGGTCGATTTTTATTCCAAATTGAACACATTTTTACAATGTGTATACAGTGTGTCTACTTAAGTCGGCGCTATATATAGGAAACTTGTTTATTATTAGATTTATGAAAAAATTATTCTGTATAAAAAATTTTGCATCTGCATGGTCTAAAATTTAAAATACAATCATCAGATATCAAGAATAAAGTAGGGGCCTTTATTTTTAACCATATCGAAAATTGTTATTAAGCTGATCAGAATTGAAAACTACTGTCTGAAAGCCAATGCATGAAAATGCAAAATATTTTTATAAACTTTAATGACTTACAATCATTTTCATTTAATGTAACCACATTAGAGCAGTTGAATGCTTTTTTTCAGTTCTATTAAAGTTTAGGATGAAGAAAAATACAAAAATATTTCAATTTATTTTCTGTTAAAATTGTTTGTTTGATGTGTAACTAACATAATAGTATGAGAGCCCACTGCAAATTTCGACCGTCATCTGATAACGAAATGAAATATGCTCCAAAGGCATGTAACAACATTGTACTTTACCAAATTGCACCTGTGCCAATCCCTATCCTGAGCAAAGTGGTTAAAAAAAATTATTTTATATTCAAAAAATCACATAAAACATGACGGCGACAATTATGATTTCCCTGAAAATTACAATCCTAATTCATTGTGAATCTAGCTTTTAAACCTGAATTATTAATATTTTTACCTACCTTTTAAACCATGTTTATGTATGAAAGGAAGAAGGATAACAGATAGTCAATAATAATTATAAACTCTTGTTAGACAATTATTTTAAATCATTATCTTAGTAGTTTTTTTGCCGTTTCTATTGCAACCTGTAAAAATGAATCACAACAATAGGCATACAAATAAATTTTTAAATTAGCAAACATTGATTCATATTTTTAATGACATTTACCTACTAATCGTGGATAGATGTTTTTGTGCGATGTTAAGAGGAAGAAAATGTTTCCCTTTAACGATATATATCAAGATATATTTGAATGTTATTTTCTGGAAAACTTTAAGGGCAAACAAAATTAGCGCTGTCATATCTTATGTGATTTTTTAATATAAAATAATTTTTTTAAGCCCTTTGCTCAGGATTGGGATTGGCATAGGTGTCATTTGGTAAAGTACAATGTTTCTCCATGCTTTTGAGATATATTTGATTTCGTTATCAGATGACGGTAAAAATTTGCAGTGGGCTCTTGGGCTATAAGGGTCGTTTGATTTACTGCGATCCAGTCATGTTGCATGTCATGCGAGTACTAAACAATTTCTCCAAGAGAAATTTAAAATTGACATAGTCGGATAGAGAAATTTTTAATCTTAGTCTAATTTGATGGATTAGTTCAACAAACTTATCAAATTTCGTAACAGCCAGACAGGTAATACGTACTATTTTTTATTATAGTGTCTCATGGCATGCCACCACCAAATCACTTTACTGTACACAATTTCAAATTTTCTGACACTGGGAAATTTTAGTTTGTCGATCATCTATATAAAGCATATTAGCCATTTAAAGATAGTGGTGTTTTATCAAACAAGATATGTGGTGAAATGAATAGACTTAAAATAATAAAATCAAATTATACAAATTTTACACCTTAACGTATGATTCTGGAAATGACCCATTTACTTTGTTTAAACTTAATTTACTTCTATGCACAAATAAAATATTCTTTAGTTGATACCAGTAACAAACAACGGCAAATAATGGAGGGTAGTTCTAGAGTATTGTATAACGAATGGTTTATTTAGATTAGTTTTTAAAAGTACAAAATAAAAAAATCTACAAAAAAATGCATGTGATATGTTTACAATTTGCTTTATATTGTGTTAAGTTTACTCACCGATTTTATAGGATATTTCAATTTTATACATGTTCTTAGAACGAGTAATAAAGTGTTAAAAATGCAATTATTGTGTTTCATTTACAAAAAATATACTTTTTGAAATACTGCACTATAATGAATATATTCCCGTCACATCACAATATAGAACTTAGATTCGGTATAAAGAGAGAACTCGTAACGTCGCAGGAATCTGTGTTCCATTCTGACACCAATGCTATTTAACCGGAGGCATTACATGTTGGAAATAAAACAATAAACTTTTGTGTTATTTTAGGTATAAAGCAAGTTCAAAGCGTAAAAATTAAAATAAATGAGGAACAATAAATAAGACAAGAAAAATATATATACAAGGTGCGATAAGCTCAACGGGATGGAGCCTGGAGGGTAAACTACAAACGATATTAAAAATTCCTTTGGCACAAATATACAACTCAACGGCGGCTACAAATTAATCTAGTAGTTTTATTTTAAGAAAGCTATTAATTAACATTTATTTCAAAATTTGTCAAATTTAAAATTTACAATAAATGTTCAAAATGATGTCAATGCATAATTCTGATTCGCTTTTCAAAATTATTTTTTACGTTACTTAAAATCTCTAAATTAATAGCAAACGCATCACAAATGCGTGTTTTCATATGTTCGGCTGAGTGTGATCAATTACATTTTTAACATATCCCCATAAGAAAAATCTAGATTGGTAAGTCGGCTGATCTAGAGGGATAATTAGTACGGCCTCTTCTTCCTATCAATTTTTCAGGAAATGTTTGCTTTAAAAATATCCTGATATTATGCGAAAAATCGGCGGGAGCACCATCTGGCTGCAGCCATATTTTTCGTCTAATATCCAAAAGAAAGTTCTCGAAATCTTTGTTAAAATATTTAAAAAAAAATTCCATTTAAGTGGCTATCAAAAAAAATAAAGCCTCACCAAATGTCTTTCTATCATTCCATCATAAACGTTTGTTTTGTCGATCTACAGTTCGAAATTCATGTTTATTTTCGGTGGTGTAATAATGAAAATTATGTCTATGCACAAATCCGTTATTATGGAAAGTAGACTCATCAGTAAATAATAGTAAATAAGTTAATATTTAGAATTGTACGACACGCCACTGGAAAAACTTTTAAGCATAAAATAAACAAACTTGGTGGGTAACATTTATTACTCCTCAGGAGTGCAACATGTACAATATATAAATAGCAAGCTGTATAATAACTAAATAAAATGAAAAATATAAAAAAATATATCTGTGGCTCGGAGGTAAACTGCACTGTTATTCTAGTCAACATTTCAGTAGAGCAGATTTAATGTTGTTTAAGTACTTTTTGGACTCCATTTATTGTCACAATATTTAGGTATTTTTACTAACCTAACTAATAAAACATCTTTTTCTTTTAATTTGCATAATTTGTATGTTGACAGTTTTCCTTCGAGGCACAAATTATATAATAAACGATCATTAAAACGGTCGTAAATAAAATTATTTGTTAATTATCATTAAAAGAGTCGTGCATAAAATTTTGTATGCATTTCGGGCGTAAACAGCGTTTATGGACCTTACGTTGCGGTCCATAAACGCCTGTTTTACGCCCTTGATACATAAATAACTATTATAAGAGATCGCTTATTATACTCTTCACACAGTAAACTGTGAAGAGTATTATGCATGTGCTTCATCCGTCCGATGTCACGTTTTTTGTCCGCACGATAAGTCAAAAACGAAAAAAGATCAATTTGAAAATTTCAGGAAAAATCAAGCTATATAAGGGAACGAAGCCAATTGATTTTGAAATAAATCTGAACAGAAATAGGGGGTTAAAGGTGGTAAAAATAGTAAAAAACTCAAAAAACTTAAAAACTAAAAATGATATCAACTTGGGTTAAATTAAAAAAAAAAAAACAAATCAAAATAAAGGAAATGCGATATCCATACGAAATTTTTAGTAAAAATCAAGCTCTACAAGGGGACGAAGCCTATTGATTTTAAAAAATCAGAATTAAAATGGGGGTGGGGGTTGACATTAAAAAAGTCATAAATAAAAAATGAAAAGCGATATCAACATGAACTTTTTAGCAAAAATCAAGCTCTACAAGGCAATGCAGCCTATTGATTCTAAAAAAAAATTGAATAAAAATGGAGGGTTAAGGGGGGTTGAAATTAAAAAAAAAATCAAAATCGAAAAGCGATACCACTATGAAATTTTTAGTAAAAATCAAGCTCTATAAGAAGATGAAGCCTATTGATTATGAAAAAATCTGAATTAAAATAGGGGGTTGAAATATTTAAAAAATCCTAACTCAAAAAACAATATCGACTTGACATTTTTAGCAAAAAGTCAAGCTCCATATGGGGACAAAGCCTACGATTTAAAAAAAAATTGTAAACAAAATGGAGGGTTAACCCTTAAGGAGGGTTGAAATATTAAAAAATAGAAATCAAACACCAAAAGCGATATCAACATGAAATCTTCAGGAAAATCAAGCTTTGAAAGCGGATGAAGCCTATTGATTCTGAAAAATAAAAATGAGGCGTTATAAGGGGGCGGGGGGCTGTTAAACTGTAAAAAGTATCATATAGAATGCCAAGCATTATATTTCTTCATTCTAGTTTTTTTTTTGGCTCCAATTTCTTTTCTAAATGTTTTTATGACAAATTAATATTTTTGAGGTATTTAACTATTAAAGTACAGTATTATCTCTTTAAATTTAAAAAATAATTGAATTAAATCCTCCTAGATTAACACACGGCTACAATGTGCGTCATGATTAAACTTCGTCTTCTCGCGATATGGCCATCATATTCACTCTAGTTGCACAAACTACTATTTTCTAATTTTGACTTATAAAGTTGCATAAAGTAGAACATTATGCAACTGATCAGGGGCGGTTTCTCCATTGGCTCATTTGTGCAGTGAACACCCAGTTAAATTTCATAAGAGAACATTATTTTAAAATCACATATAATTAACTTAATAATATAAATTCACTTTAATATATTTATTATTTTCGTAAGTATTAATCTCTACTTTTTTTGGTACCCTACTGCGCTCAGGCCGATCGCGTCTGTCGGTTCAATATGTCTAGTGAATGCGAGAGAATGAAAGTTAAAAAGACAGGTTAATAAATCCGTGAAACAGCAGTGTGCCTGCTTGAAACCACGCTATTATTAGCATCATTTTGTGCATCGCACGTAGATTACGTCACGACAGTTAACTTCGCTTGGTCCAACGATTAGTTATTGGACTTGGTCAAGGTCACTCTGACTGGGAATCTTTAATTCAACGTTGCCATATTTGGTAGATTTCTGCTTTTTTGGTAGGTTTTCAGCTATTTTGGCTAGTTTTAGTAGACAATTTTCTTTTGGTAGATTTCTATAAATTAATAAAAACAATCCAATTACTCAAATAAAACTTCCTATTTAAATAATTTTGTTGCCAAAATGGATTGCTAAAAACGTTAGGGCCGGGCGATCATCAAAATAAATAATCAGTTATTTTCGACTAGTAGTTTAAAGTGACATTTTACATTTTAATCTCCGTTTAACACAACGGTGGAATCGGTCCTTAATAGTTGTAGTGTTTGAAAACTGTATAATATTGTAATCGATTAAACAAAATTGAATATATAATCTCTAAAAAATCGAAAATATCCGATTAATCTAAAATAACCGATTTTTGTATTTTGTTCGGGGTTTTGAATTTGAATGTACTTAATACTATTGTTTATACTTATAGTGTGATGTAGTGTAAATAAAGTTTTAAACAGTTCTACCGGGCGAAATTTGAACAAAACCCATTATTGTACAAAGTTTTACAAAAGCTAAAATTATTGCAAAAAATTAAATCCCCATTTTAAATTATCACGAGCCGCCACTGCTACTGATAACGAAAAGTTGATTGTCACCAGTTACGAAATGAAAATAAATGAAAATGCCATTTTTTTGGTTTTTAAATAGAAAGATCGAAAAATTAAAAAAACCAAAAATCGAAAAGAGGCAATGAATAGTGACATTTCATATTTGACATTACGTTTAACAACAAAAAAGAAAACATAAAAATAAAAGCTGTAAATTGCGTTTTATTTTTTAATTAATAAACACACCGTCATTGAAAACCGCCCAGAAATGTTGAGGGTAAAATTTTGACTTACTCCTTTAAGGATATAACAGATAAAAAAGATTTTTTTTTAAATTTCCCGCGGGTAATGTCAAAAATGTCCCTTATTTTTATTATTACTATTGAAAAAAAAAAAAAAAACGTAGGGCAATCAAAAACAACAATTTTCTGAAGTATTGGATTGGAAGTACCTACAAAAGAATGATGGTGATTCAAGTCAAAATTAGAAAAAATCTTGTATGTAACATGTTACGAAAATAACCATTTCACTTTTTTTTTTATCATTACCAACGATCTCTAGTTTGAAACGGACGTGCTGTGATGACTCTACAGAGGCTTAACAAATTGAAAATATTTTTTTCAGTCTAAACATACAATTTTATGGATAACTGATACGCCATGATGTCAAGAATTTCAATCGGTTATAAAATTTAGATTTTCGCTTCTCCGGACAAACGCGCACGTCAGAAAATGTCAGTTTTCATTGTTTCAATGAACAAACAAAGAAACTGATGTGCCTACTATTATTATGATTAATTCATGTACACCTTCGATAATGTTATCGAAACGTTAAAGGGCATATAAGTAAATTTTTGAATTGTGTAATAATACCTAACATGTCAAAGTTATTAATTATGACCAATATTTAAAATTATGCTCAATTAAGTTTGAGAATTTCATAATTTCAACAGTTTCTCCTGAAAAGTGACAAAATAAATTTTACGCTTTTACCATTCGACCAAAGATATATAACAAAGAACTGACTTATGCCCTTTTACCTTTCGGCCACTATAATAAAGTATTTCCATAGAGAACAAGGTCAGTAAATCTTTTTATTCATCACGAATCATCCATCACTGTTTTTACCAGCCAAACTGAATTGCCTTGCATTCCTAAAAGCGCAGTCCATCCTGCTCTCATATTACATAAAATACGATAGTTCCACCTACTTTCGCTGAAAATGTTAAAACATTTTTGATCAGTAACGCGCGTTTCAATTGAAAGTACGATGATACAAGGTACTAATCTTTTTATTCGTGATCATCTTCAGTAGAAGTTACCTTTCACCTTTTGAAATTTGAATTTTAAATTTTAGTATGTGTTTAAATGTTTACGGTGAACAACCTTAGTAATGCGCTTGCAAACTAAACTGCAATTTTTAGGCATAGTAATTTTTTTCACTGTTCTGTTAAGTGGTTCCTTAATTTTGAAAGAAGATGAAGAAAATGTTGAAAAAACTACGCATAGATCAGTACAGGGTGTGCAGTTTTTGCCGCAAACGAAACATGTGACAAAATCTTTAGCGCAACTAGGAAGAATGGATAATGTCAATAGGCATTTGTTGTTTTTGAATCATGTGCCAAAGTGTGGGTCTGAGATTTTGATTTTGTTGTTACAAAAATTGCAAGGCTTTAATAATTATAGACATGTAAGATTAATAGGTGGTAATAAGAGGCGTTTGTCAAATGGTCAACAAGTGAGTATAAAATATTATAAAAAATATATCTTTGATTAATATTTTGTACATTTAATAAATCAAATATAGGTAACCTTGAATATAATGAAACATTAATTCAGAACTCAGATTCGACTTGAAATGATATATGATGCCCCCAAGCCAAGACACTTCTCTAATCTATTATTATGTATTCATTCCACTTTGTGTTTCTATAAAAGAAATGTTTATTGAATAACCATTTTTTTATTTCGACATCACAATAATTTAAAATGTTTATGGTTCAATATACTCACAATTTATCAGAGCGCGATGTTATTTATTTATTCAACACCCAAAATTTTCTATCCGCAAAAATGGTCGGTGTAAGGTATTTAATTTATTTAATTAAAACCACAGTGTAATTATATAAGATATGAGGGCATAGAAGGGCCACCGTGTATTTTTTATTTCGACTTTAAAGTCGAAATTAACCTTGCATAGGGTGTGCAAAATATTTTCTTTACTTCTTCCAAAGTACCTACCAAATATACAGACGGTCATATTTTAACAGCATAATCTACGTCCTAAAATAAATTATCTTCATAGGTGGGTAAATTAGGGGGGCTTAGGGTAAAATTGTCCTAAGTTTTTTTTTGTTGACAGTTTTTAACATTTTTGACTATAAAATTTGGAAAACCAAAAATAATAAAGCTACTTTTGTTGCATCTCGCTAGGACGCACTATTTTCAAGAAAAAAGCATTTGAAAATTTCATATGTTATGTTATCTTATTCGAAAGTGTAAAAAATAATTAGTAGGCCTGTGAAATCAGAAATTTTATTTTTTTTTACTTTGGAAAACGGGTGACTAAAGAAATTTTAAAAAATATTTACAAAAATGTGCCATCAGGACTTCACTTGTAACACCCTATATCTCGAAAACGAAACGTTTTCGGGCCTACGTTTATATGAACTTTTATTCCTATTTTAGGATGTAGATTACGGTGTTAAAATATGACCGTCTAATTTCGGGACACCCTGTATATAGAGGCGTTTTAAAGCGAATCAAGTCATGCATTCTTGCTGTTCCAAAATGTCATAATATGTGAAGTTCATAAAACTTACTTAGACCTACCCTTAGCATAATAGTCGTACTACCGCATATAGGGTAGCAAAAAAAGTCTGGCAACAATGTATTTTCTTTGAACCGAATTAATGTATAATTATGAAATTGTAGGGTGATGAATGGGATTGTATTCTGCATTTTTTAGAGAACATGTCAGCGGTTAGCGTACCACCGCCATGTTGAATTTTTTTAAATGGCAACTAAGATCGAGTGATATATCAGAGAAAAGCTTATTTTTCTTTCTTTAAGACTACTAAAAAAGTACCACGTTACTAATGTAATACAAGAACAACCCAGCTAGCAACCACGCGTCATTATAACGTCATTACGGCTTAACTGAAGCGAGAAAGAAGTCTCGCGGCTAGCCTCTCCATCCTTAATCTATATAACGGTATGATTGATTAGTTTTAAAATCTTCTGAAAATGGCTACGAAATTAGATCGAAATGGAATGTTTGCATAATTAAATTTGGTTGCAAACAATTATTTTTCTAAAACGAGTTAAGAAAAATATAGTTGCTTCAAATTATAGAAGAATATTTTTTTATATTTACAGCCTTCGGACTCCCTTACTATCACCCTAATCTATTTATAAGTAGGCACTGCAGCCTCCCATACAGCACACATTATTTCAGAAGTGTTTCAGAAATATTTCAAACGTTTCAAATATATAAAATTTCAAGCACACGTTTCTGAAATATTTTAGTTAAATATTTCACTGAAAATGTTTCTGAAACATCGTATACATGTTACACAGAAGGTTTCTAAACGTGTTATGTTGTAAAAGACCAACACTTAATGAAGAATTTCTGATTTGTAAGAAGAAGTAGAAGAATATAGGATATGTAGTTATTTTATTTTTTGTCCAACCTACCAGCCAGAGACAACCCTATATTTTAAATAATTATAGATTGGAGTTGTCGGTTTTTGCCATTTCCTTTTTTTAGTTTATTTATGCGTTGTGCTATTGTTAAATGGGAAGAAGAATGTCTTTATTAAAAATTGGTGAGTCCTATACCAGTTTTATTAGTTCTACAGTCGATTGAAAAGCAGAGCTTCATGTTTTATTTTGGCATGAGTATTTGTATAAATCCATTTTAATTATCTATAATTTGTTTCAGATTAGTGCATTTAAAGGAATTCGTGGAAATGAAGCAATTTGCCAGCTTTGGGGATGTGCCAGTAAAAGTACCATCCAAGTTATTCAACATTTCCAGAATAAAGTATTAAAGAACATAGTCGATGCACCCTGGTATATACTGCCACAATACTGATCTTCATAGGGACCTTAAAGTGGAGAGTGTTGAAAATACAATACAAAAATTTACCAGTAATCACCAACAGCGACTGATCCAACATGGAAACCTTGAGATTATCCAGCTCAACAATGTCAATCTAATAAGAAGACTCGAGAAAACCAAGCCTTTTGAGTTAGTTCAGTGATGTTAAAGCAGAGTATAGTGCAGTTAAGTGTTATACGTTAATGGTAGTGTAAATAATTAGACTCTAAAAGGTATACTATATAGAAAGTAGAATATTAGTTTATGAAGTTTTTCGTCCCTTGATAAATTAGATTAGAATAAAATTGCTAATCTTAATTATCAGATTGTAATAATCATAAATGTTTCTTCATTTGGAGTATTTATTAAAAAAAAAACTATTTGTTTCAGATAAGTGCATTTAAAGGAATTTGTGGAAATTAAGCGATTTGCTTTTATATTTTATGAAATAATGTTCAAAAATTAATTATTTGTTTGTTTAAGAATCAATGTTTGAGTTTTGTGTATTTTAAATAAACATGTATACAAATGTATATAAATGTCTTTTTTTTTTTAGTCTAATAATATTTTAGAAAAAAAAGCTAGAATAGATTTCTGAAATATTACTATTTAATATTTCTAAAAGTATTTCAAATTTTTATTTCAGAAATATTACTGTGAAATATTATATTTAGAGGACATTTTTACGTTTCAGGCACTTTTCAGAAATGTTTCTGGGATGTTTCGTAATATTAATACATTACAAATATTTGTGAAATATTTCTGAAATGTGTTTGTGCTGTATGGGCTGCGGTAAAATGTCTTACTACTTTCCCATTCATTAATTCACTCACTCATTCGCCGTCATTCATTACATGTCGTCGATAGTTATACGCTAGTCAGCTAAGTCACATGGTGGCACGGCCCATGGTGGAAAGTCTCTTCTCTGCTGTCACCCATCCACGACGTGGCCGGAGAGCTTAACTGTTGCGAGAACGTGGATGCACACTAATCTCGTGGCTAGTCTCTCCAGCAAAAGAACAATAACAAATAAGGAATAAAAAATTAAATTAAAATCTTGTAAATGTTTCCCTTCTTCATGTACCCATTTATTAAAACGAACCAATAAATTTTTAAAAACTCTTAATTACATTTTAGAAGTTATGGGTTTGGTTATGGTGTCGAATTCATGCAAATCCGGTAAATCAGCTGTCCATTCTATTGGACCTCGTCTTCCTATCCAAATAATTGCCAAATCTATTTGACACCGACTCTCTTGCAATTAAGGAATAATGAGTAGGAGCACCAGCTTGTTGAAAATAGGTGTTATCGTTTAGTAGAGCTTTCTGTTCTAATTGTGGATAAAAAAATTGTTCCAACATATCAGTGTAGTTAGTTCCATATACTGCGTAAAAGAAAGGTCCATACATTTTCGACCACCACACGTTAAGTTTGGGAGAATCTATCTTCTTTATGAAATTCTCGAGAGTAACTTCCGTTTAAGTGAAATGTATCCTTTGTCAGTTTTTTCCTTAGATAAAAGAGACCAGAGATATAACATACACCGGTTTTAAACCTGCGCAAATGTTGTCAATTTCTAAAGAAGGGTTAACGGAGTGGGGGAACTGGGCGGCGACACGCGGCGATCCGAACTCTGTGACAGGGACCGGACTTTGTTTATTAGCATTTTAATGAACTATTAGGTTTATTTAAAAGGTGTTTAATCGAATTTTGTATTATGAAATCAAATTATCGTGATTTTTTAATATCAAACAGATGCCACGACATTTTATGTAAAGAGAAGACCTTTTATAGAATATTTCGTTAGCGTTTATTTACTACGGACTTTTCTGCAAGAGATTACAGTAAAATGTTGAAATAGAATATATTGTTAATAGAGCAAAAAATGATACTCATTGTCTACGAGTATTATAAAAATAGCATGTGCGCAGGCTAATACTGCAAATCTACCCTTATGAGTTGAACATTATATTTTTTCTACGGCTATTACATATTATTAAAAATTAGTCAAAATGAGAAAATGCTGTTTTGTATTGTAACCTCAGAAAAAGTATATTAAGGCTTCTTTCTTTAAGAATATTAATTATTATAAAGGATGAGTCACATAAAACTCTAGAAATGCATATGTCTGAAACCAGATAACATTTTAAAATTTAAATCTATTAAAAGTCATTTGGTCGCTAGGGATGAGTGATTATCGAAATAAATTATCGATAATTGAAAATAATCGATTATTTTCGATCAATAGATTATTTTCAAACGATATATTTTTTGTCATTTCCTTTAAAATCGACTACTTGATTATCTTTGAAAAATCAAAAATAATCGATTAATTAAAAAGCCAATTAACCGATAAATCAGTGTTTACAAAATATAATATAAATAGAATTATCGTTTATTTTAAATAATCGATTATTTTCAAATAAACCATTTTTTTTCGTTCATGGAAACAGATTATTCGATAATCTTTGAAAAATCGAAAATAATCGATTAATCAAAAATAATCAATTAATTAAAAAGTCGATTAACTGATAAATCGATTAAAAAAGAAAACAGAATGATCGATTATTTTAAATAATTAATTATTTTCGATCAATCGATTATTATCAATAATCTATTTTTATTGTATTTCCTTTAAAATCGTTAATTCGATTATCTTTGAAATACCGAAAATAATCGATAATTCCAAAATAATCGCCTAATCGAAAATAATCAATTAATTAAGAAGCCGATTCTATGATATATCGATTATTACCAATAATCTATTTTATTGTATTTCAAAAATATTCGATTAATTAAAAAGTCGATTAACTGACAAATCGATTTAAAAAAAAAACAGAATGATCGATTATTTTAAATAATCGATTAGTTTCGATCAATCTATTATTATCAATAATCTATTTTTATTGTATTTCCTTTAAAATCGATAATTCGATTATCTTTGAAATATCAAAAATAATCAATAATTCCAAAATAATCGCCTAATCGAAAATAACCAATTAATTAAGAAGCCGATTCTATGATAAATCGATTTTCCAAAAAATAAAACGAATTATCTATTATTTTCTAATAATCTTTTTTTCATATTTCCTTTGAAATTGATTATTCGATTATCGAAAATAATTGATTATTAAAAAGCTGATTATCCAATAAATCGATAATTTTAAAAAAATAACCAAAATATCGATTATGTAAAATAACCGATTATATTCAATCGATTATTTTCATATAATATCTTTGAAAAATCGAAAATAATCAAATAATTAAAAAACCGATTAAACGATAAATCGATTATTTTGAATAAATCTACTTTTTTTGTATTTCTTTAAAATCGATTAATACATTATCTTAAAAAAAAAACGAAAATAATTTATTAAAAACAGCGGATAAATAGATTTTCATTAAAAAATATCAGAATTATCGATAAATCGATTATTTTTGTAACCCCTATCGGTCGCTTGCTTTTATCTGAGCATTTAGCTCCAAAATTTAGAGATTCTGATTTTTTGATCCAGTTATCTTTGAAATCGCATTCGCTTGTATAATAAATAAATATTGCTAAATTTTGGATTTTTTTTAGTAAACGAAAATTATGTTCGAGTTGTTTAGGGGTTTGTAATGTAATGATATTTTTACATTAACACTGTCATTTTAATCTCCGTTTAACACAACGGTGGAATCGGACCTAACTCCTGTAACTTTAGTATTTTTTTTTTGCTTGTACTAGATTACTTTGTTTTAAGACTGAAAATTCAATGTCACTTTCGATTTGACCGCAAATAAGATGAACCTTGAAATTTTAAGTAGGTCATCCTGTATTTCATCTAATATTCTTATAAAAATACCTTATAAAAATAAAATTTAGCTAGCAACTATGATTCTTTACCTCTTATTTATCTACCAAAAAGGGCTAAAAACTACCTTTAGAAAACATTCTTATAAAACTACTTTTTAAATACAAAATTTCGTTAGCAATAATGCCTATTTACTATTTATTTAAATTAAATGTTCAAAATTTTACCCTTTTGTAAATTTATGTAAGTAATATGAAATCTGAGTTTGTGATGCTTAATATTTATTGAAACCCCTTAATGCGGATCTGAAGTATTCAGCCCAGAGAATCATGGCGCTTTATGTCAAAACGTTAATAAATATTTACCGCTGAAAACGAATATATTCATAACAGTAGTACTTGTATTATAAGTACATACAATTTTTCAAGATACATCGTGACATTTTGAACTTGAAATTGAATAACTATAGAACACTTTAAATTGCTAAAATACCAACAAATAAATCAAAAAACAGCTGTCAATGGTGATTAAACTCAGGTGGAGGTGTGATCGCTGAATGGAAATCGGAGCAATTCGGGTGGCGTCGTGCAACAATGATTTTCAATTGGTTTGTTACTTTGGCTTAAAATAGACAACATGCGCAGTGTGCAATGTTACATCTTCGGTCTCTTTAATCTAAGGTTTTTTCAATTTTTCTTTAATTTGTTTTCACTTTTCGGGGTATGAGGATGTAATTTTCATAATTTCGTAGGGGGAATTGGGGATTTTTCATTTTTATATTTCCAAAGTTGCATTTTAGTTTTTCGGATCTCAATCGATTTTTCTCACTACACTTTTCTTTCATTATATTACTAATTTAGTATCTGAAGAAAATGTACATAAATCTTTCAATGTCCCTTGGGTAAAATTTTTAGTGGCTTTGTATTTTGTAAGGCTTTAATTTTTTGGATTTCTATCTTTAGGTGGGTGTATCGTGCACCTACTTAAATCTTCAATATAACTAAAACTTTGACAGTTAAATAAAATAAATAACTGACAGTAAACTGCTCATAGCCTCCTCTAATAAATTTCATTTAAGATTTAAATGTGTAAACATTTTCAATCTAATTTCGTAGTAATTTTCGGAAAAAAAAATTGAAACTGAGCACATCGTTATATATGGATAAAGGATGGATTCTTTTCAAAAATTTATTAATACACAAGAATTTAAAGAAAATTAGATTATAAACTTTATAATGGCGCCATTTTGGTTTTTTCTACGCGGAAGTTAGAATTTAATTTCTTCAATTTCATATCTTATCTTAATTAGTTCGGACGACATACTAGTCCTCAAAATGTGGAATAATATAAGTAAGACACACGGTATTTAAGAATATCAGTAAAATAATACCGTTTACTTATTAAAGTATTTCTCAAAATTATTATGAGAATCCACAATAACTATCTCAAAATCAAAAACTAGTCATATGAGAATTGTTTTGCCTCTTTTAATTAAGAGGTCAGAAACTGCAACACAATAAAATTCAGCAGATTCGATAAAAAGCCATATTTTCCATATTGAAAATGCAGGGTCATTTGCCAGTGTGTTTGTCTATTATATAGTTTAATTTTTAGGAAAACTTGGTTGATGAAATATATGGACTGATGAAAAAAGAAGCTGTGCCATTAAGCGTAGACCGACATGTATTTTTTATCGATTTCACATCGTTTGATAAACAATTTCCAACGTATATCAATCTGATTCGACATCCAGTAGATAGAATTATTTCAAGGTACCAATTCTATTTGTAAAACATATTTTTTAGGCGACTGTCCATACAAAATCGTTCATGTCGCGGGACCTCGATCTGCTCGTCCCGCAAATATTCACTTGTTACATAAAATAAGGCAACAGGTTTCATAAATAGCTATAATAGCAGATTGTGAGTAAAATCGTATAGGTACATACCTCGGGGAACTCATTCTAGCCTCGCGTCTTTAGCTTACATATGTGCTTCACACCTTGGTAATCTTTCTAGACGCTCGGCTATAACGAAGTATTTCCCGGCTCGGTATGTAATATACTATTATATTTATTTAGTTACATTGTTGAACTATAAAAAAGAGAAAAAGAAACACTAACAAAATACTTTTAATGGTTCCCAGAGCAGAGAGAAAGGTTACTATTCAATATATATCATTAAAATAATATTGTGGGTGGTTGATTAAGTCAATTGATAAGAATAATACTAACGTGAATTATAAAAAATACCAATCATATTATAAAATTGCAGGTGTGTTGACCTTAAAATCATCAAATTTAAGAACCCGTTTATAAATTTCCAATACAAGAATAATTTATACTATTAGTTAATCAATAATAACATTAAATTACCTTCTGTGCATTTTGCATCACATTTTCGGGTAGCCTAACATATCGTACTTTCTTTAAAACTTTATTACTTTAATGACATTTTTTGTAATTATAAGGTTTCCTAAAATACATTTTAAAATAAAAATACTCATTTATTATTTACTTATTCCCCTAAAAGGATTTTATTTGGTGTAATATTTCTCTCCCCTTCATTCAACATGTTTCAAGGAAAAAGTACAACATTAACTAGAATGGTTTGATAAAACTAACAACGAATATGACATTTCTTTAATATATACATACAGTGTGGAACAGCCAAATGGAATAAATTCGGTAATAAATAAATGGGGCGTGTTCGGAAAAACGCTCGGACACGTTGATTGGTATTTTTAGTTGCACATTTTTTTTAACAAACACTTTTTATACAGGGTGTGTCATGTAACAGTGGCCAAGACCAGCTTTCTTATTATAAATGCAATACCCTGTATATTTTTCAATTTTTGGATTCTTCTAACTGTTTCGGAAACATTATGATTTCCGATTTATTCCAAAAATAAACATTAATAAAATAAAATTAATTGGTCATAGAAATTCGTTATAACACACTCAAAATCTAATAAGTAATACTGTTTATTTCTTGATAATGTAACAAAAAAAACACGTCTCAATGTAGATGTTCAAAATGCTCGCTGCGAACCTATTGGCTGAAATAAAAATGTCTTCTAACGTTACTCAACATCTCAGATGTGACCGATCTAATCGCAAGCGTTAGTCGTCTTCTTAAGTCAGCTAGATCGAGAGGTTTAGTTTTGTATATAATACTTTTAACATATCCCCCTAAGAAAAAGTCTAATGATGTCAGATCAGGGGATCGTGCTGGCCATTCCATCGATCTTCGCCTCCCTATCCACCGATTTGGAAATACTCGATTGATGTACTGCCGGACATTGATTTGGTAATGAAGCGGTGCTCCATCTTGCTGAAACCATATCACATTCGCTGGAACTTGCGGATTTGCTGGATCGGGATATAAGTTCGTTTAAGTTGGCACAACATTATTTTGGAGCAGTGCTAAATAACTATCGCCATTCAAGTTGCAATCAATAAAAAAGGAATCTATAATATGATCGCCAACAATTCCTCCCAAACATTAACCTTTTCAGGGTATTGCGTATGTTCTCTCATCCAGTGCGGATTTTACCTAGATCAATAGTGGCAATTTTGACGATTAGCATAACTGTGAAGTGTAAAAGGTACACTCATTAGAAAACAAAACATGTTCTAATTGGATCACCATATTAGCTAACATTGCCATCATTTATTCACAAAATTGCGTTCTCCTATCAAAATCGTCTTCCATGAGTTGCTATTATTTTATAGAGATGCATTTTATTTTCTTTTAATGTTCGAATAATCGATGAATGGCTAATATCGAACATTGAAGCTGCTTGTTGACTAGAAGTGGGTTTTCCTGAATCTCAAGCATAATATACAATTTGGTATCATTAGTTATTAGTTTTTTATCTGCCTTACATGTAAAAGCTCACGAAACTGCTTATCTATTTTACTAATTGTCCCTTGGGATATACACGACAAATTTGGGAATTTTTCATGAAATAAGCGAGCAACTTCCATTTCTGTCCTTGTGTTTTCTCCATTACCAATCATCTCTGGAATTGTTATTTTGTGCATTTCTGTTAAATGAACCATTTTTCTGATATGCAGTTAAGGAAATTCAAACAACTATAACACTGACAACTACCGTCATGCAGTCAGATAACAATTTGCTAAGGTCAAGCGTTTTAAAAGGAACGCTGAAATAGTTTTTGCTTACTTTCTCATTATCAAGACCTAAATGGGAAATAAGTATTTAGTTGTTGTAGCGAATTTCTGTAATCAAACAATTTTATTTTGTTAATGTTAATTTTTGCAATAAATCGGAAAACATTTAATAGGTATAGGCCATAGTACATAAAAGGTCTTGAATTTTCTGAAGAATCCAAAAATTAAAAAATATACAGAGTGTTGGATTTAAAATAAGAAAGTTGGTATTGGCCATTGTTACATGACACACCCTGTATAAAAAGTTTTTGTTAAAAAAAATGCGAAACTAAAAATACCAATCGACTTGTCCGAGCGTTTTTCCGAACACGCCCCCATTTATTTATTACCGAATTTAATACATTTGGCTGTTCCACACTGTATATCTATGTTTAATAAAAGTAATAGAAATATACCTACAGGTACTTCAATTTCTCACTAAACACAGAAAAATCTAATCAAATTTGACATCCGCACACTGGTCCGAATAAACATTTTATTCAACAAATAAAATTTACGATTAATGTTGTATTTATTATTGTTAGAAAGTGTTATAAACCGTCGTTACTGCAGTTATTCATAAAGATTAGAGACGTTTTCTAATAATTCTTCCGTAAAATTACTAGACGCTAAGTCGCGTATAAGGAATGTCCTATAAAAATAATAATGTTTAATGTTTGAATTTAAAAAAGATTTGTGTTTTATAAAACCCAATTTTAAAAACAAATAGCTTTTGAATACAGATCTCAAGCGGGTTTTGAATAGTAGAACTTAATTCCATTCTTTATGGTATGTTATTTTGAAATACGGACTATTTTATTTACAAAATCTTGACGTCTAAAGCTATTGTTTCAAAATCAAACAACCTCAGATAACAGACAGATTGTACACATGTTTTGTCTGGCAAAGTAACAAACACTTATTCATTAAATTAGACTATTAAAAGTATAAATATACCTACGATTTTTTCACATTGGTTTATTAAAGTAGGTATTCGATTTTATAAATTAATACAGTTTATCGGTAACCCCTTAAAAAAAACTTAAACATTTGCACAGAGTATCCGTAATACGGGTAAAAATTGTCTTACCAGTGATTACTACCAGGCGCTATCGAAGATGTTTTAAAAACTCTCCAGTTATCCTGTAGGGACTTCATGTCAAGTTAGAAAGTTTTAATTGGGCAGTAACCAATTAGAACGAATCTTACAGAGCGGTTAAAAAAAAATAATATCTGAAATATATTCAAAATATCCCAAAATCTAAATTTTATAGTTTATAATGAATCACAAATTTCAATACAGGGTATTCCAAATAAGAGTTTCCGAATGTTTTTTCTACTTTTCCTTTCGTAAACTTTTTTCGTGGGATCATTTTTTTGTTTAGTTTATATTGTTGAAACTTAATTATTTTGAAAATGGGTTGTGTTTAAGAGCCACATATCGTGAAATTCGTGATTACTTTGCTGTAAAAAATAGTTCCTCAAAAGAAAAAACTATTTATAACATAGTAGGTATAGAAATTTCAAACTACAGGATCTGTGCAAGATATCAAAACCCTAGAACATGAACGTCCAGATCGTTCGGTTGATAATATTGAGGCCGTTTGCCAAAGTGTGGCTGATAATTTAACAAATGATTATTTAACGTCGTTCACAAGAGTTAACCCTCAGTAAAAAGCCAACATGACTGTCTTCAACTTACAGAGTAGCTGAAACCAGTCGATCATCTTTTAAATTTATTATCAACATTCGGAAACTGCTTTTGGAACACCCATTAGAGACACAGTGGAGGTATACCCTTTAGATACTTCAACTGATTTAAACAGTTTCTACTGGTAACTGGAATTACCTTCAAACATGACGTCAAAATGCCATTTAATTCACCAATTTTAAAAGGGATCATGTCCACGACAATAAATAAAAAATGCATCTCTTGTTATTTTTATTTACACATTTACATCATGGTCTATAATTTCAGGTCATCAGATAAAAAACTTAACAGCGATTATTATTATAAATGTTTGATAAACCCAAAAAATGGATGTAATTTCAAAACTGGACAACCTTACGATCTTTCAATTCCGTATTTTTGTGGTCACGATCCTAGATGTATGTAAGTATATTTTGTAAATAATAAACAATGTATTCAAAAATAAAAGTGTTTACTGTCTTTACTGAGCATTTGAAATTATAAATTAAAAAAAAAAAAGAAAAAATTGACATTAGCCGAGATTTGAACCCTGGTCCTTGAAACGGGAACGCTTCAGTCGAACTGTTGCGCTAACAAATTTTACATTTTTTATGGATTAACATTTGAAGGGTACGGGGGAAAAAAGATGAATGTCACAAAAATGAGTTTCTGAGAAAGTAGGATTTTAAAATTTGAAGACTTCTACAATACTTGTCTGTATATATATTTGGCTCAAATATTTTTTTCTCAATACCTAGTAGTATAGATTACTTTGTTACCAATTATTGAGTGCACAGGTTTATTTTTATAGCTGGAAAAAAATATTTGGAGTTATACGACATAGGTTCGAGTGGGGAAATGGAGTAATTTATCATAAACTATGTGCTAGTAATTATAATATTATATTTTATAATATTATAGTATTATAATAAAAAGAAAGTTGGCGTTTATAATATACATCATTAGTGCTGATATTGGGTACTGGCAATTTTTTTTGAAAATCAATTGCTATTGCCTCTTTTTCTGTACTTTTTTGAGAATTTAAACGGGCTGCTCTCTTTCTTTTATAAAACGTTTCAGCTTTTAGAAGATGCAGTTTATGTTCTGTTTCCAAACGAGATAAAAGCGCTTTTTGTAAAGGATCGTTTTCGATGCTCATTTTCTTGGCCTTGTGCTCATCAAAGGCACTGCAAGTATCCGTTTGTGGATAGCCAAAACGTATGTTGAATTTAGTTACAAATATAGTTCTGTAAGTCTCGTAGGACACCTTTTTCTCAGGATTTTGTTGCAAAAACATGTTGAACATCTTTTTCACGTTAAGATCTTCCAGTAAATATACACGTTGGGAGTCATGGAGACTGTAATGTGATTTTCGGCCTTTAAACGAAGCAATATGGTCAAAAACGGCAGTGGATATTTCATCTGGGAGACGATTTTTTCGATTGGAATGTTGACCTCGCCCATCGTGTTTAACATGTCCAAAAGTGGTTAACTGCTGCTGGATATTCTGAAGCCGTTTCGCAGATATTCCATGCATAGAAAGCATAGCTTTATAATATATTGGCACTATAGCTGTATTATCTCGTTGAACACGAATTTTGTATATGTACGAATATGAGTGATATTCAACATCTTCATCATTATTCTTTCTACTTCGGTGTCGTTTAACGGGGGCATGTGAAATTAAGCCACCCAGATACAAATTTTGTTCATAATGATCTTTAAGTTCATTAAACTGTTTAATTATTTGCAACCTCCCTCCTTCGGTGACATTTTCAAAACATTTAAATCTAGTACAATTATTACAACTTGGGCCTGTTTCATGGCTTCGTAGTTTTAATAACTTAGCAACGTTCTTCATACGTCCATGAGATTTCCGTTTCTTAGACCTTAAAGGAAAAACTGCACCATCAACTTCAACGTCTTCGTCACTCACTGCGAAATATTTCGATTGCACGTGGCACGAGAAAAAAAACAGCATACATCAAGTGGTCGATTAAACGGCACATGAACTACTGAAATAGTAAAATAGCTCGTAATAAAATGGGAAGAAGCATCGAGAGAAAAACAAAACAATGCGCGATTGCCATATTTATGGACATTCATCTTTTTTCCCCAGTTCGCCGGGACGTTCATCTTTTTGCCCCTGTGCGGTACAATTTAGATTCGCTGTGGCTACTCTCATCTATTTTGATTGGTTTCAATATTTTATCGGATTCTTACAGCATTTTAGCATAATATTCCCGCCATTAGCTTAAAATTTGAATTTTTGGACATTCATCTCTTTTCACCTGTGCCCTTCATTTATAATTGAATAATTATGGTTATAGATAGTTTTATTAAAATTTACAGCTTCTTTCCTTCTTTGAAAATATACAAGAATATCTAGTGGATTCCTATTATTTTTCACAAGAATCACTAATTTTTTAATTAATTTAATCTCAGTAACTACAAAAAACTTTTTTTCTACACCCACATGGATATTAGCTATTTTATGACGTTGCGTTGTCAGTATCGAGATTAAATATACATTAAAATGAATTATTATTGTATTTTGTAGATTATTAGTTTGTGTTAATTTGCCAGCGAGTATTTACATTGTATATTAAAGACATGGATGTAGTTTATAAGTTAATAAACGAAAAGAGACTTTTTAAATACGCGTATGGGTATGTTCGCTGATAAAAGGACCGCAGAATAGAAGTAATGTATCAAAAGTAGGTGAATAAAAAATGTAAAATAAAAAAAATAATGTCTTTTTTGGTCAGGGGGAGGTGGAATGTTGCAGAACACCCAAAGTTTTTAACAACGGGCCGCCACTGCAAACAACTATTTTAGCCCAGGCCACAAAAGTCAAGCTGCTACAATTTCTAAACATTTTTTTCTTCATTTTCTGTTGTAAAATAGTCGTCCAAAATCCAGATACACATCAAATTTTCATTGGAGCATTTTTAATCGAATAGGAGGAAAATCTAAAAATATAAAAATTTACTGCTTTTTTTACACTGATTTAAAATAAACAATAATTACTTAAATTGATTTGTCCCAAGTAAACTGAAATAACAGCAATTACAGTTCATCAAATTTCTAGAGGTGTTCGACGCCCAGACAGAGAACGCGCTACGTGTGACTAAGATAGCTATTGTACAGTCTGCTAAACAAGTTATTTTAAATAGTTTTTAATATTTTTAGGTAATTAAATTTTAAAAGTGTGGAATAGTTTAGGGATTAAATTGGTCTGATTGGACTTTCTTAGAACGTAGAATTGAAAATAATTATTATGCCATAAAAGGTGTTTTGGAATTCCTTCAACCTTTTGAAATTGAGTCAGAAAATATAAATTTTATAGGATAGCGGAAAATACCTATAATTTTTTTGTAGGCCTTTGTAAATCGTGGAAATAGTTTATATTTTATTTCTACCTTATTAAGGAAAATGGTACCTATTATTAATAACGGTTGTTTCGAAATTTTGTTTTTCTACAAAATAATAAACTATACTATTTAGAAAAAAAATTATTTCTCTTATAATTTTATAAAAAATAACAGGGGAATATTTACATTTTTTGATCTATTAAACAAAACGATAAATTATCTCGACGAATGACACCATGTTCTAGTACGGAAGCTAGCTTTACATTTTTGTTGGTGGTTTCATGGGTTTCATATCAATTTTTTGTAATTGTAGTTTACACGTACATATACCTCTTAACACTTGTTTGCTTTATTAAAAAAGTGTGTTGTTGTGATTTACGTCGAAATAAGTCAAAAACAACTTGAAACCCCATATAAAATCAAAAAGGAGAAACGGAAAAAAATTGAGCCTGTAAATGAACACAACTCAGAAACAAAAATAGCTATCTAATAATAAAAAAATAAAATTTGATTCTTGTGCATCTTCGTTGTAAAAATAGATAATACTTTTTTGATCTTAGGTACAGATATAATTTTAATGGTCTTCCGAAAAACTTTCTGCAGTTTCCATATCAGATTCAAAATCAGTCTCACTGTCACTGTTTAAGTTAATTATAAATCTATCAGTTGCCTCATCCAAAGTAACTTCTCTGTCATAAAATTTAGATTCCCACATTTTAGCATTATTACAACGAGATTGCCACTTCTCTTTAGAAAACGTATCAAAAAAGTCTTCACACAACAGTTGTACGTCTTGCCTCTTAAATGTAGTGTTGTTACTAGCTACATATTGTTTCAATGATTCCCACACTAATTCGATCGGATTAAGATCGGGATAATACGGTGGCAAACGCAAACAACTAAAACCATGTTCATTTATCATTTCTTCAATTGCATACCTCTTAAATCGTGACTTATGGAATAGCACTAAACTGTATAATTGCGTTTTGAGCATATCCTCTTCGTAAGCAATATTATGATTCCTTAACCAATCCTGCATGTCAGCTTTTTTAGAAGTTGACGTTGGTGCTTTATTTACCTGGACATTATGGTAATGAGCATTATCAACAATAATGACGCTTCTTGGAGGGAGGTTCGGAAACAGCTTTTCTTTCAACCATTTAGAAAAATTATTAAAATTCATTTCATCGTGGTAGTCTCCACTTTTGGTTCCAGATTTGAAAATTAACCGGGCATTCGGAATAAAGCCCATTTCACCTCCTGCATGGACAATAATTAGTCTATCACCTTTATTAATTGGTTTCTTTAATCCCTCATTTGAATTATCACTCTAAGCTTTCTGGTGTGTGTGGGAGGCATGAATGTATGTTTCATCTAAGTAGACAATTGGACGGCCCTCTGCTCGATAACTTTTTAAACGAATCAGATAGTCTAAACGTAGCTTTTGAATATCAAACCTTTCCATTAATATTTTTCTGTTTGTTTTTGTTTTCCGCCAACGAAATCCTAGCGACTTTATTATTTTTCTTAAACTTTCATAGCTTCCTTTGTACCCTGTAGCTTCTCTAAATTTAGTCAGAATTGTTTTTAATGTTGGAACAATATTTTCCGAGATTAACATGAACAGAATAATTCTTTTTAAAATACCTTTGTCAGCTTCATCTATATCATTAACTGTTTTTGGTTTTTTAATGGTTTTTCTTGGTGATGAAAATTCCGATATCTCACGGTTATCGATTCTTTTTTTCTCTCCAGAAATGCGGACGACAGTGTTTTTAGATACTCCTGTGGCTGCAGCAACACGATCATTTACATTTTTAAATGGTATTGAAGGTGAATTAAAGTTTCCTTCTCTTCTCATAAACTCTATAACATTGGCTATTATTTCGCGAGATTGACTGTTAATCACGCGGCCTCTTAATTTGCTATTAAACTCCATACTTAGGTTCTATTAAACTGTAATGAGCAAAAAACACAAACGAAAATAAAAGAAATGTTTTAGCGAAATTTACATCTGACATTTACGTCTGAATAAAATAGTGAAATACTTGATGCGCAGAGTGTACTTTCATTGCGTAAATCCGTCGGCCCCGCCAACCGATGCCTCTCAGTAGTGCTTTCTCTGTCTAGCCGTCGAAAGCCTCTAGAAATTTGATGAACTGTACTGTTCAATTAATAGATCGCAGCCATATCAGTTATAAGAAAAATTGGAAATAATATATTTCAGATTTAATTTTCTATATTTTTTTAATATCTGAGCATATTTGAATAAAAAATAATAGCTTTGTTCGCGGTAACAATCCTGAACTGATTCAGAATTACTAATTCATACTTTGAGCGCATGCCCGATTCATTATCAATTCTGAATTTTAACAGCGCGCGCAATCCCTATTATATCTCGATGTTCCAGGTATAACACAAGCGGTTCAAAATCAATAATAATTTTACCGCGAACGCAGGATAGAACCAATAGTTCAGTTCTTTTTGTTCCGCGAATGCTTTTTAACTACTGCGCCTGCGAAATCGGTACTATTAGTAATAATTCGGTCCAGGATTTTCACCGCGAACGAAGCTATTATATGAAACACAGCCAGCCGAAAACTATAACTATTTTTACTTTCCTATCTGTATACAGATAAGGAAAGTATAGGAATCATGATTTTTACTTTCCTATCTGTATACAGATATAAGGAAAGTATAGCAATCATGATTTTTTTCGACCTCGAGTTTTCGACGGATTTTTACGTTTTGAGGTCCCCTGAATCCGTTTTGACTATTTTCGCGATGATGTCTGTGTGTGTGTGTGTGTCTGTATAACGCATAACTCATGAACCGATACACGGAAAAACACCAAATTTCAAACTTAAGCTTTGTTCCAACGTCTAATGAGCTGATTAGATTTTGGGCAGAGTCGGAACATCTGGGGGGGTACTTTATAGGTGGTCATTTTTATATTTTATGGAATATATCTGTTATTTACGTTTGGGGAAGAAAATTTTTCAAATGAAAGTTACTTCTTATTTTATTATCTATAATTTTTGTTATATACAAAATTTTCCTAAAATGGTCCGTATTCGCGAAATTTGACAAAATGTAAAAAAATATTTTTTTCTATAAAAATTGTTCAAACAAAAGTTGTTTGTAATATAATTCTCTATAATTCTTATCCTATAGATAATTTCTCTAAAATGGACCGTATTCGAGATATTTGAGAAAATGTGTAAATTTCGAAATTTGAAGAAAACTCAAAAATGGATAAAGAAAAAAACATTAAATTTTAAACTTAAGTTTTATTTCGGCCTGACGTGAAATGATTAGATTTTGGACAAAGTCGGAACATCTGGGGGGGTACTTTATGGGAGGCCGTTTTAATATTTTATGGAATATATCTGTTATTTATGTTTGAAGAAAAAAATTGTTCAAATAAAAGTTACTTCTAATATTATTATCTATAATTTTTGCTTTATGTAAAAATTTCCTGAAATGGTCCGTATTCGAAAAATTTGACAAAATGTGCAAAATTCTGATTTTTATGAAAATTGTTGAAATAAAAGTTGTTTGCGATATCGATCTCTATAATATTTGTTTATACATGATTTTTTTAAAATGGACCGTAATGGAAAAATTGTAGGAAAAGTGCTAAATTTAAATTTTTCAGTATTTTCATTTTCAATGAATATCTATAGAAAAATGTTTCGCGGTAGATGTATGTGGACAATGTATATATTTAGTTTATCCTCTAAACATTTATAGAGATGCTGCAATAGATTGTACAAAATAACCGGAAAAAGCCTGTAATACCTAGATAGGAAAGTCATGTGTTGGACACATCAGATTTTTATTATAAGGGCAATGACAATGAAAAAAAAAAAAAAAAAAAAAAAAATCGGCAACAGCGGTGGTTCATCATAGTTTAAGAGTAAAAAAAAAATCGGCAACAGCGGTGGTTCATAGTTTAGGAGTATGAGATAAAAATGGCCGGAGTCGGTCACGGCGCTTGTACATTGTTTCCATTTTATGTCGATGTTCATTTTAAAAATTTAATTTAGTTTAGTAGATTTAACATTACTTGAAGCCCAGTTATTACATATTTAGACTCGATTGATATTATCCAATACATATTACAAGCATAAACTTCAGTGGTTGGTTCAATTTGATAACACAAAGTAGGTCGTTATTTGCTAATTATTTCAATAAAATCATATTAAATGTTCATCTAGAACAGATATAGGATTTCCGAATCGACCATTCACGGTTTGGTTTCAATTAACAGTGCCGTTCCTAAAGTGGCGATGGGAAACAGTAACAAAGCCTACATTGACCACAAAAGGCCGAAGAGCCCTGGCATAAATTAAAAAAAAATTATAAATCATATAAACTAATTAAAAATGGGTAGAAACGTGTTATAGTCATAGAAAAAATATAGTATTCAACTCGCAAGGAATGCTTATTTCCTACTCGTATGAAATAATACACAATGTTTCCAACAACATATTTCTGGTAGTGTTTGGTTTATAACATAAAAGCTGCAAAATTATATAAGAAATATATTTTCTTACAGGATTCTTAATAATGATTGGGCCTTGGATCAAGCCAAGAACAATGTAATTAAATATTTTCCAGTTGTGGGAGTTTTAGAGGAATTAAATGCTACTTTAGAAATCTTAGAAGACAAAATCCCATATTTCTTTAAGGGCGCTCGAAGAGTTTATGAAAAAGATCTTCTTTGTAAGTATTTGGATAATTTCTAGAAACTACATACAAATACTGAAAGTAATATTATTGTAAGTACCTATTCAATTTTTTAGATTTACAAACTAAGAGGAAGAAACTAAAAGCTCCAAAAGTAATAGTGAGTCGATTGGAAGAGGCTTTGATTAATGAAATCGACTTTTATGAATGGATCAGAAGTCGTTTATTTAGACAACTAAAAATCTTATATGGAGACCATAATCAGAACTGAAAATGTTCAAGAAGCAAATCTGATATAACAATTTATTTTGAGAGTACAAGTGGTACAATCATAAGTGAAATCTTTGATGCTAAGTACTAGAAAAACTGTTTAGCTAAATTAGCTGTTTGGAAACATTATAAGTGACGTACTAGCTAGATTTGACATTTGTAGTATATATTTATTAAAAAAAAAAATGCTTTAATTATTCATGGATTGTAGTTAAAATGCTTTTTCTGAACCTACAAATAAAACGGGTTATACAAACAAACGTGTAATTCAAATCGAAGAGGCATCAAATAATAATGTAATAAAATAAGAATAAAACTACTCAAAATCGATACCATAATATAATAAATATAAAAATACAACGGAGCGCAACTAATTTCGGCCTATGGGGCCATCATCAGACATAGTATAAAATGTTATAAAGTTAAATTATGCAAAATTATTCATCTTATAAATGTAGGGCATCATGAACAAACGAACATTTTTATATTAAGATGGTACATACAAAATATATAAAGAACTAAGTGCAAGTAAGGTCAAAGGAACATAAGTATCGACAAATTGAATTATTGTAAAATTAAAATAACATTACAAAATTTATGGAATGAGGAAGAACCTGCTACTATCTCTGCTACTTAATTTTAGTTAACCACCATCTACCTACTCTTCTTAAACTTTTTTTTATTTATTATTAATTAATATATTTGACGTCGGTCTATTTTTAACTATGAAGTTCAAACACTGAGCCTGGTGAGCACGTTACCCACAACCCGAATCCCCTGGTATTCCAATCAGAGATAGCGATCTTTAACGAGTCCAACATCCATGGACTCGCGACCGACGGATTTACATCACCTCCAAAAAGATGACACACCCCACTCTATATCTCGTACTCATTGATATAATGCCTATGTGCTGTTGTATGCAACTAAATGAGCAGTTTGTTCGGCCGTACGCCGACTTTTATCAAAATGGTCACCCACACCCGCCTACTACTACCGGCGCTGGGCCTGTCTTGACTGCAGATATCAATACACAATAAGTGAACTTGCTAAGCCGGGCCGCTGCCTCCTTGTTAAACTTATTAAATACTACTATTTTCAGCGGTGTACGTTTCCCATTCTTATTTCACATATCTTATGCAATTTTAACTTGTCAATGAACACATCACCTCACGATGATCCAGGGCCCCCGCTACTATATGTGCAATGCACACGGGCGTCATCCTTTAGGGTCGCCAAAACCCAGGTTCCAAAAAAAATTGCAAAAAAATTTCCAAAAAAAAAAAAAACAAAAATTAATTTTAAAATAAAAGTTGAGAAATTAAATTTTATTAGTATATCATCCAGTTACTGCCGATTCCTATGTTGCGAGAACATGTCAGGCGGTAGTTTCTTGATTTTTCCTGTTCAGACATGAATAATGCCTGGAGCGCTATAAAAGCGATGCATCGCCAGAGTCGTTTTTAAACCGTTAGTTCACTGGACCGTGCGACAAGTACATAAAAACAAATAATCCTATTAATTTTTACATTTAAGGAGGTCCTTTCGCCACCAATGTTAAATAAAAAATATTAGAATATGACTAAAATTAATTTTTTTCTAATAGTTGAAGTCCTTATTTATCTAATACTGAACTTTTAACTATACCTTACCTTGCAAATTTTTGAGAATTTTTTTTTTAAATGTGAGTATTTGTACAGTGCCTCACGAGAAAGTAAGTCCTCAACAACAATTCTCGAATTATACTATTATTTATTGATTAGATGGAGTAGAAAAAAACTAAAAATAAGGTTTTTGAAATATTTAGGTTTTATTTTTTACAATAAAATATATAGGTTACCGTGGAATTTATTGAGAAATTAATATTAAAAAATCACAAAAAATTTTAAAATAGGTTACTTCAAATTTTTTTTTAATATTAATTTCTCAATAAATTCCAAGGTAACCTAAATTTGCACGGTAAGGTATAGTTAAAAGTTCAACATTAGATAAATAAGGACTTCAACTATTAAAAAAAAAATAAATTTTAGTCATAATCTAATATTTTTTATTTAACATTGGTGGCGAAAGGACCTCCTTAAAGATATTTTTATTTTGTCAAGTGTTGTGTTGTATAATATTTTGTTTACTACTTTTTTTTTTTTAAATTAAGTAAGTACTGAACACCTGCTGACTGCAATTTCAACGGTTTTTTTTTATAAAATGGTAAGTATTCCCTACTTTATTCGCTCCGTGCGCGACAGCAGCGCCAATTTGTTTTGGTATTAAAGGAGCATTTCTGCCTATACTAACAAATACAATTTTTAATAGAATTCGTAAATAAAAAGTATATATGTTAGTTTTCATAAAAATATATGGATTTATAAAACAATTAAAACATTAATTTATTATTATTATATATTTTTCACGCTTAAATTGAAGAAAATTATGTATAATCATTAAAAATCAATAATAAAATATAGGCAGGCAACAGTATTTACTGGAAAATGTATGAGAAGTTGCCTAAGTCTAATAAGTTGTCATTGAAGAAACCGTTTATAATAGCGTGAAGTTAAAGTGTATAAAAAGGATCGCTACTTATATTTTCATTTTTGTTCTAAAGAAAACATAGAATGAATGATTAAAACTGGTTTCCGATCAGTAAGTCACAAAATTGCATACCAGCCAAATATTATAATCAACGGCAGAAATCTTGAAATCTAGTCCTTGCTGAATGAACATTTAAGAATAAAGGGATATTAAAGAACATCGTAAAATGATAATTTATTGTTTATTTAAAAACTTTCTAGTTTCTGATGTCTACTATTTCCAGCATTACTGTTATTATCACAAAAATAAAGGTAATTTTTCTTCTTATTGTACACCTATCCATTTATTTCTTTGATTTAATTTCCACTTTGTTAGTGAAATTTGTTATATAAGTTTCACTGTTTTTTTTTACTAGTATTTGTACAATTTTCAACATAGCAACTCCCGTTGCTTATTGTATTGTTTTTACTTAGTTTTTTTAAAAAAAGTAAAATGTATACGTGTATTTGATATGCGAAAATTACAAAATATCCCCCTAAAATGCACGAATTATCCGCAGCTAGCGCTAGTATCGCTTTTGCTTCCCTTTCCATGACTTCGCACGGAGCGAATACTATCAACGTTAACCCTTTATAGGATACTGGTTATAATTAATTAATTTTTTTTTACCCAAATATCTTTTTATTAATTGAAATGTCATGTACGAGTTTAAAAAAGTAATTGGTTTTTTATCCACAACTCGCTTAGTTTTTACGCTATCGATCTTTTTAAAAAACCATTTTGTAGGGTTTTTTAAGGGCTATAAGATCAAATTAGTTTAATATTTTTTCTACCTTTATTTTTAAAAGGGTTTAAGCTGAAAGGGTTCGAACAAATTGCTTTTTACTCAAATATGCAAACTTGGTGCTTATTATTGTGCTTACTTTAGAAGTTAATTCCTAATTCCCATGAGTACCAATTATTTATTTGTTCTTTCAGGATAAAAGAAAGAGACCTTCATTTGTGAAGTTTCGCGAGCAAAAGAAACTGAGTCTACAAGAGAGGGAAAAAATGGCTGGATCTTTAAAGCACTTCTTGCAAAACAATCAAGATTCCACGGAGACTATCGATGTGACCGAATCTCAAGATTATAAATCCGTAATATCAGTAACCGAGAGTGGACCATCTGAAATTTCAACATAGGCGACCACGGTAACATCAGGTCCTGCAACAAGCGGCGACGGTTGTAGCAGCAAAACAGCTTCTACTGATGCAGAGCCCGATGAAGCGATGTTACCATCCTCGTCTACAGCACTTGAACAATCCACTTCAGGTAATTCAGCTTGTGTAAGAAGTTCGGTAATGTCAGCTACCGAAATTCTTGCTGCAAGTGACACTTTCGATGAAGGCTTTAATGAGGCTAGTGTCGATATAATTTCGTCCGACCCCGGTTTGTGGCCCAAAAGAATCACCAATGAGATAGCTAGAATATTGATTAAACGTGGTCCGCCCTTGATAGACATCAGTTTTAGCTTTTCTAGTAATAAAGATAAGAGAAAGTTTTCGTGCAAATATTTTGTAAGAAGTCTAGCAAATTTCTAAAGGTTCTGTATTTTGTTTTTGTTGTAAGTTGATTTGTAAAACACTTTTTGTGATACAAATGGGGTATCTGATTGGCAACACTTGTCTTTGCTAATGAAGAGACACGAAACGTCAATTTTACACAACAGTTATATGAACACTTGGGTAAATTTAAAAAAAAATTTTGGAGACATCTACGACTGTTAATGCTCATTCACCTGCGGATTTGAGAAACGGACAAAAATATTGGCGCGACGTGTTGGAAAGAATTATTGCGATTGTTAAGTATTTATCTACACAATGCTTGGCATTTCAAGGTTTTTCTAAATTACTTTTCGAACATGATAATGGAAATTTTCTAAAAACTGTTGAGATGATTGCCTCTTTTGATTCAGAGATGAGCACGTTAGCCGAGTGTGTAACTCCCAACAAAAATCTGTTAAAATTACTCATTATTTAGGCGTACAAATACAGAATGAAATAATTGAATTATAGTCGTCTAAAGTAAGAAATAATATTTTAGAAATGGTTCGCAGTTCAAAATATTTTTCAATAATATTGGACTGTACAACAGACACTAGTCATACTGAGCAAATTAGTCTTGTTCTGAGGTATGTTGTCCTTAATACCACTTCCAAAAAGGTTGAAGTTAAGGAAAGTTTTATTGCATTTAATCCAATACTGGACTCTACAGGGGAAGGGATACACATGTGTGACAGAAATTTTCAAAAAATTAAATTTAGATATAAAAAATATTAGGGGACAAGGTTATGATAATGGGGCAAACATGAATGGAAAGCATGCTGAGCTTCAAAAACGCATTCTTGATGCGAATCCGAGAGCCTTTTTTGTACCTTGTGCGGCTCATACTTTGAACTTAACAGTAAATGACGCTTCTAAGGTGTCAGATGCTACAATAAACTTTTTTAATTTTGTGCAAGAGTTATATAATTTTTCTTCGTCATCCACAAAAAGGTGGGATGTTATGAGAAAAAATGTCCCCGGGTTAAGTTTAAAGCCTCTAAGTGAGACAAGATGGTCCAGCAGAATTGATGCAATAAAGCCCCTTAAACTTTATTAATTGGACGTAGTTATGCAGAAATGATCCAATCCACAAATTTACCAGAAATGACTTGAGTAGCATTTCAATATGTTACAATCCAAAATTATATTCTGCTGAAACGATCCAACAATTTAGAAGGATATTAATGATAAAAATTATAAAAACTCGCTATATATTCTATTGTTATCGCATAGAGACTTTAACTTTAACATCATTTTTCTCAAAATATGGTTTGGGTGGATTGGATCATTTCTGCATAACTACGTCCAATTAAGGTTTGCGAAAGTCTTCTAGAAGTAGCTGAAGATAATTCCTTTCACATTGATGCAAGACATAAAGCGAGTTCCCTCTTAACGTCTGTACAAAATTTTCAATTAATTTATTTGTGGAATTATTATTTGGCATAACGTTTTATTTCATATAAATATTGTCAGCAAACAAATGCAAAGTGCTACAATTAATATTAAAGTATGCCAAACCTACCTAAAAAATTTAGTTGATCACTTCCAGCAATATAGATCTGACCAATAATTTCAAGAAATTCTTGTACAAGCGAAAGAAGTAGCACTCTCTCTCGAAATTGAGAATACTTTCCACCGTCAGGAAGAAATTTAAACCAACTTTTGACTATGAACACCGAGATGAGACCCCTCATGATCCAAAAACCGTTTTTAAAATTAGTTTTTTCCTAAAAATTATAGAACAAATTTTAAGCTCTCTAAAAAACCGAATGAGTATATTTTCGGATTTTTAGCGACAATGATTTGTTTAATGAAATTAAAGCGTTAAAGTTGTTTTCATTGCCTGATGATACTGACCCCTCAAGTATTTACAATATATATTTGAAAACAATTTAATCTCCACCTTTCCAAACGTAAGCATTTCACTAAGAATTCTTCCGACATTGCCTGTATCCGTAGCTTCTCGCGAGCGATCTTTTTCAAAGTTAAAAATCATTAAAAATTATTTAAGATCGACAATGCTTCAAGAAAGATTGTCTGGGCTAGCATAGACGGTCATATTTTAACAGCGTAATCTACATCCTAAAATAGGAGTAAAAGTTCATATAAACATAAGTCCGAAAACGTTTCGTTTCCGAGATACAGGGTGTTAAAAGTGAAGTCCTGACACATTTTTGTAAATATTTTCTAAACGTTTAAAAATAACTAAGTGAAATTTGGTGCAAATGTTATAACCCAGTTTTTGATCATTTTCATAGGTGGGTAAATTAATTTTCCTAAAATGGTCTGTATTCGAGAAATTTTACAAAATGTGCAAGAATTCGAATTTTTAAGAAAATTGTTCAAATAAAAGTTGTTTGTGGTATGATTCTCTATAATTTGTTATTTTTTCTTGTTTTGTAGCGAGTTTTAGTACAGTGTTGTATAGCATTCTTCGTTATGCCCATAAACTTATTTGTTGCAGTATTTGAATTTACCATTTGAAAGTAGAGGTTTTCATTTAGAATGTTTAAATAATCCGAACTAATTGTGTAGTTTTTCAAAAGGTCTATATTAATAATAATAATAATACTCTCCCTAATTCATCCCCTTACGAGTGAATTTTAACCCCAAAAGCTGAGCTTGTCCGGGGAAAGGGACGGCTATTATTATTATTTGCCGTGGCGCTCCGGGGCGACTTAAAGATGGTGCCATTTGACTTACAGGTGAGGAAAACCTCACCCACCATCATCGAGACGGTAATGTATGGCGAATTTTTTTAATCTGCATGTCATATCAACAGAAATTGAATTTCTATTAATACGCCACACATCAAATCCTAAACCGAACCATGCAATTTAATTAAAAATCTACATGGTCTGGTCTGGGATTCGAAACCCAGCAGTCTCAGACTCATAAACTTGCCTATAAATGAATATAAGCGCGATAGACCGCTACACCACCGTGCCCGTGCCGTATAATGTCTCTTATTAAGATACATCGTTAACATTATTATTGTTTTCGATTGTGTCATGAGTGAACGGAGTCAATTGAATTCGATAGATGAATCCAAAAAAAATAACAAGTTTGACGTCCCCACTATCAACATCTCATTTCAAATCCGAATATAAAAAATATAATTTGTATAGCTACATCTCAAATAATAAAAAAAAAACGCAAAAATGTAGTTGGAGCAGATGTGTCCGATGTGAAAAAACAAACGCTCGAGAGGTAAAAAATGAAACGTTGAAAATGAACAGTCATATTATCGAGTTCACCATAAAATTACGTTTTCAAATTCCATACGTCTCCTCTTGCTATTTAATAAAATTGAGGGGGGTGGCTGTCACGTGGAGGGAATTAAATAGGCAGTTTTTTATGTTATATAAACTGCCTCAATTAAAATGAAAATAACGTTTTTCTCTACTCTTTAAAATAAACGAGTTGACAAGGGTGTAAAACTTAATCCTTTCACTGTATATTTATATGGGACCACCCCTGAGATACCACCTTACTAACAAAAACGAATCATATAAATCGGACAAGGTGGTAAAGCATTATCACTAAACATACATAAATAATGAAGAGTTTGAGGATTTTCTCATGGACCCAATTATTAGATTTTGACCAAATTTATATGGGACCACCCCTGAAGTACTCCCTTCTAACAAAAAAAAATCATTGAAATCGGACACCGTATTAAAGAATTATCGCTGAATCACATGAGACAGTGTTGCAAAGTAAGAAAGGATGCGAATGAAGGCACTCTCAGGGTATGGATGTGAATATAAGCAACTTAAAGTGACAAGTTACCAATATTGCCTAAAATAAAAGGACTTTATGATGTGCACTATCTACTGGCTATTTTAAAGGTAAGTCATTGCGCCTATGGCTACGGGTCTGCCAGCCGACTATCGATAAAACTTTGAAATATGCTGTAAGATTCTATTAACCCAGATTAGATAAGAATTCGATAAATATTAACTGACTACTTGAAGGCGAAAAGAAAAAGTAAAAACAACTTAAGCGTAATTTATTATAAAACACCAAATATAAGAAAAAAGTTAAATTGATTTTCAACAGTTAATGCTGGCATAGAAAAAGATCATGTTGATGTATAAATAAACCATAACGCATACGGTTAAGGAAAGTGACAATCATTTTTTCTTAGCCTGTAATCCTGCACCGGCGTTGAATTTGAAGAAAATTATGTCACCATCTTCTACCACGTAATTTCTGCCTTGTTGTCTGTATTTACCTGAAACAAAAATTTTATTAAATATTTGGTAGCCATATGTGAGTATAAGGGATTACGTAGGAAGGTGGTGTTTCAAATAGTAATGTTTCATAACTCTCTATTTGTAGGAGTTTCACACATGAAGAATAAGTGTTGTTAATCACAGTCAATGATTTTTAAACAAAATAAGTAGTTTTCATTTAGTTTATTAAGGTTATCAGTAATTAATATTGGAATTTATTATTTAAAGGTACAATTTTTTTTTCAAAACTCTGTATTTGCTAATTTTTTAGATTGTTTATAGCCACCAGAGGATATTAAAAAGTGTATCATCCATCAAAATATAAAATTAGGCCCCCAACAGGCTGCTTTCAAAGTCAATAGATGACAAAGAAATCGCAATAGCCACTTTCTTAGATATTGAAAAAGCTTTCAACAATGCCTCAACCAGGTCAATAACTAAGGCTCTAGAAGAGAGAAACGCCCAAGTAACAATATGCCAATGAATCACTGCCTGTCTAGAGAACAGGATTATTTTATCCTCTCTAGGAAAGGCAACCATACAGGTAAAAGTTACACGGGGCTGCCCACAAGGAGGAATATCATCTCCAATGATGTGGTCAGTTCTTGTGGACGACTTACTCAAAATATTGTTCAAAGAAGGCTACCAGTGCCTAGGATACGCAGACGACCTAGGAATTATCGTCAGGGGGCGATTTGCAGGTACAGTTTCGGAGCGATCTCAAACAGCTCTAAACATAGTGAACAACTGGTGCAAAAAGGAACAATTGTCCATTAATGCACAAAAAACAACAGTTGTACCATTCACAAAAAAACGGGTACTTACAGGTCTAAGACCACTAGTACTAAACAACACAGTGATCCCATTCGTCACAGAAGCCAAATACCTCAGTCATATTTGACCAAAGGCTGACGTCGAATCAACATCTCAAAAAAACTCACACATAAAGCTACAATAGCTCTCGTAAGCTGTAGAAGAATATGCAGGAAAAACTGTGGGGTCTAAACCCCAAAATGACCATATGGTTATACACAAGGGTAATAAGACCCATGATAACCTATGGCTCAGTGGCGTGGGTAACAAAAACTGCGCAGGCAAGTGCAATAGGTCAACTCACTAGCATTCAGCGGCTTGCCTGTCTAAGTGCTACTGGGGCCATGCGCACTACGCCGACCGCAGCAATGGAGGTCTCACGCCACTGCACATCTTCATACAAGGAGAAACCAGGTCAGCTATTCACAGGCTAACGCAGGGACAAAACCCAATAAGCCAACTACATAGCGCCGACCACACAAGGCTATATCAGCAAGTAAAAAGGGATAATATTCTAGCTATGCCTACTGATACCACATACAAATTTGAAAGAAACAGGGACCTCCCGTACAGACTGAACTCGTCTGGTACACAGACGGTTCAAAAACCAAGGAAGGAGCTGGTGCTGGAATCTGTGGACCCAAGTCGAAATCAACGATTTCGCTGAGTTTAGGAAAATATGCAACAGTGTTCCAGGCTGACCTAATAGCCATACAACACTGTGCAAGAGAAATATTAAATCAACAAGTATCAGGCAAAACTATTGCCATATACTCTGATAGCCAAGCAGCTCTAAAGGCAATTCTCTCACCAGAAAACAAATCACGACTGGTGAAAGACTGTCTAGAAGACCTGACAGAGCTAAGTAGTCAAAATAAGGTGACCTTAGCCTGGGTTCCAGGCCATGAGGGATATCAGGGCAACGAAAAGGCCGACGAATTAGCCCGAGAAGGCTCAGATAAGGCCATGACAGGCCCCGAACCCTTCTGTGGAGTTGCTAAGGCATTGTGCAAGGTATCCATTAAGCAATGGATGCAAAAAGAGTCTCAGGAATGGTGGAACAACTATCCAAGACTGAGACAGGCCAAACAGTTCATCAAGGAACCATCGGCCCAAGTTCACGAAAGACCTACTGGATCAAAAGCGTCAAATCGTTAGGATAACAGTAGGCCTTCTTACTGCACACTGTCGCCTCAAAAGGCACATGAGTGTCATAAATTCAGCAGAAGAAGCAAATTTGTGCAGGTTCTGTGAAGAAGAAGAGGAAACATAATTCCACGTCCTGTGCCAATGTGAAGGCCTGGCTGGAATGAGGTTTCTAACATTGGGCGAAGAAAAGCCAATTGCATGCAACTACATGCGGGAGCCACTGTCAAAGCTACTAAGTCTAATAAAAAAGACCAGGCTAGACGACATACTCTAAAACAAACGGAGTTCCACAATAGATCTGAAAAGGTCGCGGTGGACAAGGACAAATAACGTCCAACTCCTAATCTAATATAAATCTAGGCCCCCGACTATTTCGGAAAGTACGCAGTTTTATAAGAAATTTTATGTTTTTTGCAGATTACTCGAAATGATATATGGTGTAAACACAAGATTGTTGCGTTTAATGGACTCAAACGTGTTCTTTGTAAAAAAAATGGCAACGAACTTACCAGCGGCTTTGCACGCAGACTCACTGCCCTCTTCTTTGAAATCTTGGAACTTCATGACTTCAGCCATTATGAAACCTTTCTCGAAGTCGGTATGGATGCGGCCTGCAGCTTGAGGTGCTTTTGTTCCTTTCTATAAAAAAGTTATACGATTAAACGTTAGGTAGCGTTTATAGTTTGCATTTCTGAAATATGTATTTTAATTACGTTTTAGAATCCGTTTTTATTTCACAATGCGTTGATGTAAGTAAGATATTTTGTATTCTTTTTATATTGCATATCATTATGTAAATTTAAATATTATTACAATTTACAATTAAATATAGCATACATCAGAGTGATGTTAATTATACAGGGTGTTATAGTATATTCTACCGACAACGCTCTACCCCAGAGAACTATCGTTAATTGATTAATTTTGATATAGGAACATGAATTCTTAAAGGGCTTAGTTACCGAGATCAAATAAATCAAAAACTAATTTTTTTATTTTTTGATATATCAATCAAACCAGTCAAATACACGAACTATTTAAAATTTGACACGTGCCTACTAGATTAGAGTTTAGAAATATTGAAAATGTAGTTACAAACTATCTAAGTACATGCAGACTCTTGTTTAGAAGCAAATTTCTACACCGTTCATTTTAGCTCCATAAAAGATTATTACTTTTTTAATAAAAAAGATACAAATAATATTTGTTTCAGTAACGTAAAAAATAGGGAGGAAAATTTGCCATTAACCCTGATTGCGTGCCACTGGTTCAATTGGTCACCAAATTTGAAAATAGTAGTTTGTGCAACAAGAGTGGATATTAGGGTGCTTCATTTTCAGGCAATATTTTTTTTTCTCTGTGCTACCTGAAAATCTAAAACTTTATAAAAAATAAAAAATTATGCCGCCGGGTAAAAGGTTCTAAATGCAATAGCGACATAGCTTATTCAAAAATTCGATTTCCTATTTAAATAACAGGAAAATTTTTTTTTTGTTTCAATTTAATTTTTCGATATTAAAAAAAATTTTTGGGAAAAACCCGTAAATAGCTTTTGTAGGGCATGAAATTTGCTACAAAAAGTTTCTATGAGTGAATCCCCTCCAACCTACAGTTTTTGAGTTATAGAGCTAGAAAGATGAATATTAATTATATTTCACATCAAATCTTCTTTATATAAACTTCTAAATTTTGCAACACTGTTTCGAACTGGCATCAAAGGGATTTTCGTTTTACACAATTTTTAAACTTAGATTCAATGGTTTACCGAGAGATTTATAATTGTACATCAATAAACTTAATACTTCCCGATTATTTGGTAGCTTACGTTGGGATAAAAATTTACGTTCATAATCAAGTAAATAAATGTTTTTACAGGAGTTTTTATTAGCCATTTCAGCTAAATATGAGTCTAATCACCGAGTCTGACATTTATGACAGAAATAGGAAAATAAACAATGAGGTTAAAGCACAATTATCAACAATCAATGCTAGTCAATACGATTGAAGAACAAAAACTTCTGTTTACATCAATGGAAGTTGAGACGAAGTCAAGAGTAGTGCTGCTGTGGTTGGAAATGAAACTAAAAATTTGAAAATTGGAATTGTAGCGTCCTAATGTTTATAATAAGTTATTATTAGATGTAAAAATAATAAATTTTAGTTTAAAGAAGATTTGATGTGAAATATAATTGATATTCATCTTTCTAGCTCTATAACTCAAAAACTGTTGGTCGGAGGGGATTCACTCAAAAAACTTATTGTAGCGGATTTTATGTATTAGAAAAGCTGTACACGGGTTTTTCCTAAAAAAAATTTTTTAATATGAAAAATCAAATTTTTTCTCCTATGTTATTTAAATGGGAAATCGAATTTTTAAATGAGCTAAGTCGCTATTGCATTTAGAACCTTTTACCCAGCGGCAAATTTTTTAATTTTTTATAAAGTTTCAGATTTTCAGGTAGGACAGAGAAAAAAAAATATTGCCTGAAAATGAAGCACCCTAAGTGGATATACTGGCCATATCGCACGAAGACGTCTGAGTGCGATATAGACAATCCACTCATCTTTATCATATATAATTCCTTATTCAGAATGTAGTGCACCACATGATATGATAAGCCAGTATCTTCCACAATGTCCCTGATGCGTACTCGTCGGTCTTGCAGTACTGTGTCGTATACCTTTTTAATGTTTTTGTCTGTTGCTACCGTTATGGGAGGACTACCAGCATGCTGGTTTTCACAGGATGTTCTTCCACATTTAAAATCTCGACTACGTCATAAGAAACTGCAGACTCCTGAATAGTTGTCACAATGTCTTCATGAATTTGAGTTGGCGACATGCCTTTTTTACCAGAGGTATTTTATTACGGCTTTGTTCTAGAATAGAGGATTAATTTTTATGAACAATCACGACACACAGTTCAAGAATTAGCCACAGCACAACAACGCTGTGAGATACAAAGTTGATATTTTTGTAGATAAGATCTACAAAAGTAAGTTAACTAACTAATCAGCCACCACTTAAAAATGGGTCAGGGGCGGAGCATAGGGATTCACCCTTGTATTTAAGAAAAATGTTCAAATCTGAACAGTTGTATTGTCCAAGAAAAGTAATGTAATTATTGTATTGTTCAATAATTTTGCATTTTTGTACCATTAATTTTTCATGTAGAGTCACAGCCTTAAATATTCGCATATTATTAAGGAACACCCTGTATATTTATATAAATTTTCAATCACGAATATTGGACTGCTTTTTATGTTAGGAGCAAAGACAGTAATGTCTTTGGTTAGGAGAAATTGATTCATGTGGCGTTTAATTGTTTTTTGTTGTATGCAAATCGTATTATTAGATTAATATTTCATTGATTTACCAAGGTATAGTTCGGATTCTTTGGAAAATAGGAAAAAACTCGTGCCACCAACACAATTGGTGATATTTTGTATTCGATGTGGTACCGATTGTCGCAAAACTCGTACTGTCCTTCGGCTATTTCCATCAAATATTCGAAGGCACGATTTTGGATAAAAATGATAAAAACGGAAAAAGCATAACCAGAGGCGGGTCATAAGGTTTAGGAATAGGTTCATCAAATATATACTTATAAAGAGTAAAGTGAGAACAATTTTGACGCAAATAACCTATTTGGATACAATTAAAATAAAGAATAAAAATAAATAAATATTATATAGGATCGTAACGATCCAAATATGTTTTGATAAAACGTTTATTTACAAATTAAATAACGTAAAATAAGAGCCCGCAAAGCCTTACTACAACATTGCCCTCCCTAATCTTCCCTTTCATCATCCCAAAATGGAACGTTCGCGTACAGTGTCCTTATTAGAATATTCCGCGAACGGCGCGCCATTCTCCAAAGCAGCAAAATTGTTACAAATGAAAATAAAGGTCCCCATTTAACTGCCAATGCGAAAGTAAATAAATTACCCGTGCCCTAAAATTGTCTCTGGGCCGAATTTGCATAAGAATACCCTCTCGCTGCCAGCTAGCAGCAGCCGGAAAAATAGAAATGACGGAAAACGTCGCGTTCAAATTTTCGAATAATTTCGAATGAATGGGCTCGAAAAGTAGTTGGAATGGCGATGAGTTTTTTTTTGTGGGTGGGGTAAATAATGAGATTGTTTATTAACTACCGAATTTTACTCGACGACAACAAAATGTAGGCTTTTCTTTATCGTCCATATTTAAAAATCGAATTTTTAAATTTCACATTTAAATAACTATTTATGGTTTTAACAAGTTCATAGCCAACAATAGTGCCGCTAAAAGTTCAAGTCTTGGCAATGATAATGTAGCTATTTTGAATTTTTCGCTCTATTTGAGCTTTAATGAAGTATTTTGACCATAATTTAATTAATTTAAATTATTTTGCGTTTATTGAGCGTCTTATTACTTGAAACGATTAATTCAACTGTTTTCTATTTATTTTTGTTCGTATTAACGTAATTTGCTCTAAAATTGTATTTTTAATGCTTTAAAACGGTTTTTAGTAATATAAAGCAGAATAACGTATTTTGAATGTTATTTAAGCCATTTTAGTTATTTTTGAATTTTTGGATTTTTCGCACTAGTTTTGTTATAGTTAATTGTTTTGACAATTTTTTATTTTGGATTTATCTAGCCTCTTGAAATTACTTGAAATTAATTATTTAAACAATTTTCTTTAACTTCTTTCTTGTTCGCATGAACGCAATTGTTCTAGTTTTGCGCTAAAATAAAGTTTCTAATAGGTAAATTCGTTTTTCAGTATTTTATAGCACACTTAAGTGTTTTCAATAAGGCTGGTAACTAGTGATGCCGCGAGACAAGATGAGAGAGTGGCCTCTCTCGTCTCGTAGGGCGAGAGACAACTGTTCTCTCGTCTCGACGAGAAGGCGCTTCTGTCGCTCGAGAGAGTCTTTCTCTCGTCTTGTCTCGTTCCTCTCGTGATAAAACAATATCAAAGTAATTTGCGTATTAGTACCCAAATTTAGCAATAAGAAACACTTACGTTTCTCTGTCTGTCCGTCTGTCACAGGCGTTTTACAATTGAAATTTGAAGTAATAAGTGGCCCAGATTAGGCGTTAACTAAAAACAAAAATACTTTGTCTTGTGAGTCAGTTGGGAAGGGGGGTAGGGAGAGGTTAAATTGGAAATTAGAATTTTTCTAATTCAATCCTGCGATGTCAAATGAAAGCATTTTTGTTTTCAAAATGCAAGAAGATAGAGACATAAAACAAAAACGATGTGAAATTAGAGAAACATTATGAAATTTTTGTTATAATGAGATGCACTTTACTTGAGACGTAAAACATAGGGCGTTACTATCTTTAAATTTTCTAATGAAAAGTAAAGTCATGTGATACCTCATTTGAAAGATATTTTGATTATATTTACATCCAAGCAAACAGTTTTAATTTTTTTTTGTTTTTACAAAAATTACATTCTTGATAATCCTCGTGTGCCGCAATAATCCTAGAAATGTTAGAAGATAATTTTTTAATAAGCTTATTTTTGCCAAGAAGTTATGAAAAATTTAATACGTTAAGTGGTTTTTAAATCACCTTTGATATTCTTAATTTATTTATTTTAGTAAATACAAGAAGCGTTTCCTTAGTAATAAACAATAATTGTTAATACGAGAGTTATCAAGAATGTAACTTATTAGTAAAGGCCCAAAACATGTATGTATAAGAACAAAGTACCAGCTACAAAAAATTGCCATTTGTGCAGTGTTAAATCCCTCTAACAGTAAAAATTATTTAAATTTATAAAAGATACTGACATTTACTCTTGACTAGCCAAAATGTTAATCATCCATTGTATACTATTGTAAAAAACAGTATTTATAAGGTATTATACCTCCGGTAATGATCCTTTGAGGTTGAAGCGGTAAATAAAAAAAAGAATTTACCCTACGTTATGAATTTATTTAATGTAATTTCTGTAAAAACATAAAAACCTAAATCTGTTTACATGAACGTAAAAATATAGAAAATATCTTTCAAATGAGGTATCACGTGATCCCACTTTCCATTAGAAAATTTAAAGCTAGTAACTCCCTCTATCTTAAGTGTCTCAAGTAAAGTGTATTTCGTTATAACAAAAATATAATATCTCTTGAGTTTTACCTCGTTTTTGTTTTGTCATTATCTTTTTTCATTTAGAAGTTAAAATAGAGCAGGGTACAATTTTCGTCCTCACTGTATATAATATTCGTTTGAATTACCTTTTCTTTGATAGTTTTTCGAACGCTCATACATTTTCAACTTATTTTCAAAAGTAACTTCAGAAAAGCAGAATGGATTAAATATTAGAAATTATTGTATAAATTTTAAATAAATGAAATAAGAAATATTTTTTTTTATAAATCACTATTTGTAAAATAACACAAGTATCATTTGTTACCATTTAATATATATAGAATAGGTGTGTTTAGTTAACTTTTTGACTATCTCGAAATCTAATATGTTAAAATTTTAAGTTGCGATAAGCAATTGAAAATTTCAAATAAGCAAAGAGAAAATTGTTCGAGAGAGCCCAAGAGAGTTCGAGAGAAACGAGAAATTCTCGTCGAGAGATGACACTCTCTCGTCTCGTCTCTAATCTGTTTTCGAGAGAAAATGTCTCTCTCGTCTCGTTCGAGACAAGAGACGAGAATCTCTCATCTCGCGGCATCACTACTGGTAACCAAGACCGGTTACCCGGTTCCGTAGAACCAAAAAACCGTTAAAGACCGTAACCGGTTTATAACCATATTTATGTGTACCAGCCACATCAACTTCCAGTAAACGGGTGTTTTCTAGTGCAGGAAACATAGTTTCGGCGGCAAGAAACTGCTTGCTGCCGAAAAACGTTGATAAGTTGATTTTTTTGCATCAAATCACAATAATAAAAAAATAGGCAGTTTTATTATTAGGTATTTGTTATTATTTTATGTCCCAATTAATTATAATTTATTTTTGAATGTTTTTTTTTTTTTACTTGAATATAGTTTGTTTTTTAGTTTTACCTACTTACCCACCCAGTGGGAAGTAAAATTGGTAGTATTTCTATTATTCTAATTAAATTTTTATTTAGTGGGTGCCTATTTTAAAAAATCAAGCGTGCACTGCCTGGTTGTCACGGGTAACTAAAGGTGAAATGGTTAGTAAAGTGACCCCATTTCTATTGAAAACAAAGGATTTCGTGGATGTGTTTTGCCACGATTAAGCCGGTGATGGTTACAGTTAAACCAGTAACGGATAAACCAGTGACGGGTTTAACTGGTCACGGTTACGGTTAAACCGCCGAATCCAGATAATCGGACCGGTTAACCGGATATCCAGACCGGTTAACCGGATATCCAGACAGGTTATATTAATGGTAAAAACCCGGTTAAAACCGAAACCGGTCAAAATCAGTCGAACCGGTTAACCGTTTATCTCGTCAGGAATTGACAGCCTTAGTTTTCAAATATATTTAACCGATTTTTTAAAAATGTTTCCTACATTTTCGCTATTTTGCACATAAAAAATTTGACACCTTTTCACTGTTTGGATCGATGAAACACAAATACAAACAAGCACCGTATGCTTTTTCCGAAGCATTACTAAACGCGAAAAGGTTTTGACTGCCGATAACTTGTCGAATTGTAGTTATTTTATTTAAACAAATAAGTTCACATTCAAAGTGTAACCATTGATTTTTTATTTTATAAGTTAAGGATTCATCCCATTCTACCTTCAATTATCGTAATTGTTGAATCATTTATCTTCGCTTTAACTACTACAGATCTGAGTAAACCTAGCGGATCAAATTTTTTTGTAATTGGAAAAATAATACTTCTTTTATTTATCTAATATTTCCGCGTTCGAGTGAATTAACCGAGTATCTGAAGCGATTCAATTTTATTTTAAATTTTAACATGGAAACAAAAATGGTTATACGATAGCTTGAAAGTTACTAAAATATAATAAGAATGAAAAAAAATATCGTGATAAAATCTTAAAGTGGGAGCAGTTTTCACTAACAATGTCAAGTACATTACCATGAATGATGTAATGCTTGGAAAACCAAGTCACCAATTTTGCTACAAATTTCGATTAGTAAATTCCCTTAAAAAATCAATGAAGCAAATTTAATTTTGCGTTTTTCGTATTTATTCGAAAAATCGCGATATCGTTCTAAAAAAAAACAATATTTAAACTACGGAATATAAAAAAATATGATTTTATGGATTAGGAATCTAAAAACATAAACACTATTGAATGTTTAGATAGAAGAAAGTGAAATGGAAAGAACTTAATAATCTAGTGTTCGCTCGTTAGTAGAAATTTACTAAGAACTCAAAAGTTTCTCAACAATAAGCAAGCAAAGCATAGATGCTAGAACAACAGCACGATTTCTATTTGACACCTGAGGGATCACAAAACAATAAATAAATCAGAGCAAACCTAGTGCAAGAAATACAAATGCGAAAAAAATATTAAAAATATATAGTTAAAAAATGACTAAACTTGAGACGAATGAACCGAAATAGATAAGGGAGAATAATAATAGTTATTTTTCTTCAAGCAGATCCAAATATTTGTACTGAATAATCACTGTTGATCACACTGGCTGTTTAGAACTATATACAGTGTCTACTAATGTGTCAGACGAACTATCGTGCTCAGACCACAGACAGATTAGATTTGATATAATTACCCCACCTCGAATTTCAACCAAATACAGAAACCCCAGAGAGACAAACTGGGAAAGGTATTTAACATCACTTGGAGAGTATCTCAAAGAGGGTATGGTAGAAATAACAGGTAAACCAAGCCTTGACTAGCAGTAAACCAAGTAAGGCCATTATAACCGCTTACGAGGAACTGTCCGGAGAAAACAGGACAGCAGAGAACAAAAACAATTTGATGGGACAAACACTTGGAACGTCTTAGAGGTGAAGTGCGAAAGTCAAATCAACTGAAGACTGAGCCCTATAAAGGGTTAAATCACACAGTACAACAAGAAGATAAGAAAGGCTAAAAGACGATCGTGGAGGAAGTTCTGTGAGGAGTTATCTAAAACACCCACATGCTCCAGAATCCACAAAGTCCTAGTTAAAGAGGCCACTGCAAACCAGATAGGATTTCTCAGGAAAGATGATGATACTTACACAAAAACCTTTGAGGCAACGTTAACAATGCTCACAGAAGTACACTTTACGGCTGCAGAAATGTTGTTAGACCGAATAGTAGCATACAGCCCCAGGAATAGAAGGAATATATTCCATTCCACTACAAAAAGAACAGGAAACTAAATTTTGTGTTCTATATTTAAAGCATGTATATCATAGCAAAGGCGCGGGAAAAGGTGAAAGTCATATGCCTTTCTTAAAATAGGAAAAATTAATATGACACCAAAGTCGTATCAGTCAGTCGTCATTCATGTTAAAAACGCTAGAAAGACTAATATATAGATATATACGAGACGAAATACTGAGAGGAAAACCTCTAAGCGACCGTCAATATGCATATCAGCCAGGAAAGTGAACCGATTTGGCCAGGCTAGGCTATTGTCAAAATCCCTGGAGGTATGTAAACGTTGGTGTTTTAATAGAGTGCCTATACCCTACGGCTCGTATTCCTTTTTCCTAACCTGTATATTATTATCTTCTTGATACAATAATATCCAAATTTTGTCACCAGTAACATAATAAATAATAACCTTCACCTATCAGACACTATAAGTTACCTTTGTCAGTAGTGGTTACAGTTCTGTTGATTTGTTACTTCTGTAAAGAACTATTTACAGTATCATATATAAATAAAATAAATGTTAATATGTTTCACTAATTAATTTTGCCAAACTCAAATGAAATGTTCTAGCATATCAAATATTGTGGCATACACGATAAAAGGTTTTAAATGGTCCTTAAACTGATTGTTTGGTCTAAAATCTATTTAAAATTTAAATTTCTACACAAACCAGAATAGTCCAAGCCTTAACTTCATCCGGTCCTGCTGTAAAAAAGTACTCCAACTGTAATGTCTTGTATCCTTGAACAATGATTTTGTCTAGAGCGCTGAAAAAGAAAGTACAAACATTGTAATCGTATAAAATACAAATAGGAGACAATGCGGAATAATAATTTATTTTACAACGTATGAATAATAAAAATTCGATTTTTTTATTAATCACAAGCGATGTGAATGTAAATTATTATTATTAAATACTTGTAATTAAAAAAATTAATAATCGTTTATTAAATATCAATTAAAAATTATTATAAGTCGGGACAATTAGAGTCATTTACAACGCTAGTCGTTAAGAAATGAGCAAAGCTTAATTTTTTTTTATTACCAATGTCATTTTAAACTGCGCTTATTTCTGAACGACTAGTGATGCAAGTGGCCCTATGGTATTTTTTAATTTTTCATTAAATTTTAAAAGCAAGTTAACTTTGAATTAAATTAATGGACTGAAAGGTATATCTATACTTTAACGAATGAATGATCAGTTTGTGACCTCTAAAATGGCAGTGGAAACACTGTTATACATTTTTATAGTAATGTAACCCCTGAAAGACTATTTTTTTGAGGAATATCTCCATTTTTTTTATAGGTATCGACATTCAAAAAGATGTAGATAATCTGCTAGATATTAGTGACAATATTGAATATCCCAAATAGGTATACATGACAATGTTTAGTTCACTAATGATTGTCTACTACCAGAAAACCAGTTGTAACTTTAGGACCGTACTTATTTTTTATAAATCATAATTTCTAAAGATTATAAAAATTCAATAAAAACTATCTAAAAAATGCCAAAATTAAGATAAATTAATAATACTGTCGGTTTGAATTAGCTTGAAACATACCATTTTTTTAATTACAATTTAACTTTAATTATTATTAATAATGACATAATAAAGTACAGTTGAAAAATCTGCTAAGTATATAAAAAAAAAAAATGTAAAAATGTTTCAACATGTATAAAATTGTAAATATCTTATTGTAATTTATGTTTCAGTATTACAAATAAAAGCAGAGAAATAAGGTTTTCATCAAAAAATATTGTAGATGAAATAACATTGGTTATGAATTATCGCAACATTACCAATCTATGTCTTCCGATTGGATTTTATTTTGACGCCATGCGCCAGACAGAAATCGTTTTAAACCCTAATAACGATTTATTATAGTTTTAAGAAAAATGTCGAATAACCACAAATTTTCGGCAATCAGAGCCGACGAGACTCCATTCATAAAATGATCTCTATTCATCAAAATTCCATAATATAGCTGTATCCCTATATTTATAAATATTTAAGGACACTCGAATTCATTAAATGGACACTAACGACCAAAAAGTGCGTTTTAACGATCCAATTTTTGGTCCCTTTGCGATGGGTCACAAAATTTCGGCAGGTACGAACTAGGTTCTTTAAAATAGGATACAATTTAAATTTTAAGTTAGTGCAGGTGAAAATTCAACTCTTAAATCATTATATAGAAGGTAAAAATAAAAAAATAAATAGATATTGTGTAAAATAATGTTGAATGAGTAATTTTTTTGAGGAACCATGCATATCCGTGTTAAATGTATTCATGATGTATTCGTTTTTAAGGATATGATTTCATTCTTACTTTTTTTTTAATAATCCTCATTTAAAACCGCTTATGTTTTTATATATAGTACATTGATTATTGTGATACGTAGCAAAATATTAATAAATATTTTTACTCGTAATATCGAAGAAACGAAAATAATTCAAACTCAAAAATGACTAAGACTTAAATATTTTTTAAACATATATATAAATTTTACCATACAATCAATTCCAAGTACGCACTTTATTTTCCATAGATGACAATAATTGTTTACGCATTAATAATAACAATACTCTCCCTAATTCACACCCTTACGAGTAAATTTTAACCCCAAAAGCTGAGCTTGTCCAGAGAAAGGAATTATTATTTTCCGTGGTGCTCCGAGGCGACTTAAAGATGATTAATGGTTTCATTTGACTTTCAGGTGAGGAAAACCCGGAAAACCCCACCCACCATCATCGAAACGGTAATACTTGGCAATTTTTATAAACTTATCAAACATTATTATTCATTATTAAAGTGAAGTAAGTCACAAATCAGCATTCACGTTTATTGTGACCAATGCTTGACAAATGGTAATACGTTAGTAACGTTTATTTATAGTTTATTTATTTAAAACACACTATTTACAATTTATTTATGACGTACTAATTAATTTATATAATACTTAGGCACTATTATAACTCACAATTCTAATTTATTTATTACAATTTATCTTTTCTGTCCAACACTTAAATTCAATCTGCCGTCCGTCGAGAACTCGCGCTATTTACATAAAGCTAACTCTGTACTAGAACTCTCAAGGCTTTCCAGAACAATCTAAAACTGCCTTTCTATGACTCATACGCCGCAAAGCGATCAATCCGGTAGGTTCGAGAAGCGGTGCGTTTGTCTCTATATTGCTAGACTTCATACAGCGGGCAAGGAGTAAACAAATCATAGGGTAGGCTTTTGCGTAACAGTAAGGTTTATATTTACTTAGTTGTCTATTTTAATAGCTTATTATATACTCTTCACATAGTAACCTGTGAAAAGTATTATGGGTTTACTTTCAAGCAATAAATTTTTTTAATATTAATCCAAATTTGAACGAAAATTGTTCTCATCAAATTTTAAACAACTTTTAAAAATGTCCGTCTGTCCGTCCGTCCGATGTCACGTTTTTTGTCCGCACGATAGGTCAAAAGAAAAAATGGTATAAACTTCAAATTTTTAGCAGAAATCACGTTCTATGAGGGAACAAATGTATATGAGGCGGAAGAAGATAAACTCAAGGAAGTCTTGCTTTACAGAAATCTTTTCGATACGTTGTCAGGCAATAATTTTCATTCTTGTGATAATAAAAAGATGTATTGACACTTTAGTTTTATTTATTGAAAAAAAAAAAAACACGGATAACTAGTATTTTACACAAAAAAATAAATAAAATGACGATAGCTGCAAAAGTGCATGGCCGTATTATACATGTCAGATCCTGATAATGGGACGCTATTGGGTTACCTACGTACTAAAAAAAAAAAAAAAAAAATGGAGTTTTAAAAGACAAAGGCCCATTCGTACTGCATAGTACCGCTAGTCGTTAAGAAATAAGCGAATCCTAAAAGCATAAAATTTTATTTTAAGATTTATTTACATTTTGTGTCTTTGAAGTCTGTCAACATATTCTTCGTTTTGATTGGTTAAGAAGTGTGGCAACAAAGCAAACTATTTCTACGAGGTTTTTCTCCCTCCTTACTGTTTAAGAATACGACTTAAAGTTAGCGAAAGAACAGTGATAGAACAAAATCGAAGAACTCTCTTCAGGGATCAATCTATTCTCTAGTGACGAGTCTCACTTCTGCCTGGGGATGCATGATGGTCGTACAAGGGTGAGAAGGCGACGTGATGAAAGACGTGATCCACAATTTGACAGAGAGCGTCATATCCACCACACCGTAGGTGTTTTAGTATAGGGTGCTATTGCTAGCAGATCACCACTAGTTTTCACTAGAGGCAACATGACAGCCCGATGCTAGATTCGGGAAGTAGTCGAACCATATGCGATTCCATACTTTTACACTATCCAAAAGGCTACGTTTAAACAAGAGAAGAGATAGCCTTCATGGATCGACATCACAACAACCGTTTACCTTGCCTCCCCTCCCCAAAATCACCTGATCTGTCTCCTGTTGAACATGTCTGGGACATGATTGGACGTAGACTGTTGAGTTTGCAGCGTCCTCCACATACTTTAGCTGCCTTTTCTCATGAAGTTGAGGTAGTCTGGAATGAGATACACTAAGATGACATCCACCATCACGTTAGAACCGAGCCTATGCGTATCATGCATAAGAAATCGCATAAACATTCATTAAAGAATGGGCCAAACTTCAGATGTGGTTAGTTTGGACAAAAGTAAGTTCATTTAAGCCAATTTACCTTAGTAGAATTTTACTTGTTTAAGAAGTTACAGGGTGGAGAAAATATTTTTTTTTTCAATATTTTTTCGAGAATTCAAATATTTTTTAAGTGACACAAACGAATATCAGCTTTTTGTTGCATTACATGTACAGGGAGTTCTAAACTGGCGTGCCAATCTAGTATTTAATTCAGATTTTTTTTAAGAATGGACATTTTTGAAAAATAATGATTTTGAAAAAGCGTTCATTTTGCTTTAAAAAAGGTATGCATGTCGCTAAAATGCATCATTTGAACGAAAACTTAATTTAAAGTTAGTACTGCAAATGTATGGATTACACCAAAATTTCTCAATTTGATTAAGTTAAATCTAAAGATAATACATAAATGATAACAAATTAATTCAGAACCTTATTAAATATTTAGTAGATACTGAAACAACGCAAAAATATGATAACATAAATCATAAAGAATATTTAAATATAACAAATTGAAAAACTTAACAATAATTTCAAACTAAAAACAATAGCAAAAGTAAAAAATTCATTTCAAATTATTTGTTCAAAATGTCCGCCATTTACTTCAATGCATTTTCTACACCTTTTCAAGAAATTTCTTCTAACTGCGAAGAATGAATGGTCTTGTCGAATAACATTAGCCGCTATTAGTAATTTTTTCCACAATTCATTTCTGGTATTAACAGTAAGGCCAGAATAAACTAGAGTCTTAATATAACCCCAGAAATAAAAATGCAGAGGGTTCAAATCTGGACTACGTGTAGGCCATGGATGTTCACTTCCTCGTCCAATCCATCGATGGGGTAATAATATTTAAAGGAACATCATCTAGAAAATCAAATAAGTTGTACTCGAGGAAATGTAAGTAATCATTTCCAGTCATTTTTGCCGGAAGTTCAAAAGGTCCTATAAGGTTATCTTCGACTATAACAAAAAAAAAATGTTTAATTTAAATTCATGCTGAAAGTGCCGCACTTTCGTCTTGTACTGTTTGGGTTTTCTACAGCCCATGTGTGAGGATTTTTGTAGTTGAAAATTCCTCTTCTCGTAAATGT